GAGTATAAAATCTAAAGCTGTCCATGAATTAATATAAATTTATCGACATATGTGCCACTGTTTATCAACTTGTATTTATTTAAAACTCTCGCACAACTGTTTAGTCTCGCTTTGATTTCTATGACCTTATATGGAAATACGCACATTCCTCGATTTTTAGTTGTGCAACTAAACAGTTGAATTGGCTTGGCATGTTCAAAGGTGTATGCTCGCTCTTAAGTCGAGTACCGACTACTGATTTTAAACGGTAGAGTTACGTAGTGTAACATAATTAAACGCCTTATTGTCCGCTAGTTTCTCTATAACATTACGAATGCTCGATGTGTAACATGTTACATTTCACATATAATGCGATCAGTAAGGTCCGCAATAGGAAGGTAAAGGGAAATCAATTAAAACGAGTTGCTACAGATGTGAGACGTTACCGGTTTCGTTATCAGCCATAACTTTATTTTACACGATAAAACTTATAATTATTCGTTATTTAACATAAATCGGCAGTCAATCTAACAATGAACAAAAAAAAGAAACTGGCTGATATATTAACGGTAAGATATAACTACGTAGTGAGTGGAGTTAGAGAATTGATTTTTTGCACTGAAATTTTTGGTAATTAGTAGGTAGTTAAATTTTAAAAGTTTATATGGGGATAAATAGATGGAATATACGAGAAAGTTTATATAAAAAATCTATCCTTTAGTGTAATAACTTGAAAATGAATTCACAAAAATACTTTTAAATAAATGGAGAACTGTTTTTTTTTAAATCTCAATCTGCGCGGCGGAACAACAAGATTGTAAAGTGTTTATACATTCTTAATTGATTATATTACGAGGTTTTTTTCAAGTTGTCTACTTAGATAACTTAATTATAAATCACGTTAAAAGATTGTAATCTTTTAAAATGCATTCAATGTAGGTTCACAGTGCGGTCATCGACCCAAAATAAGTCGTAAAAATGTTCTACGAGTATTTCTTAAATTTAAACTCGACGTAAAAATCTTAGTTACAGTTTCTGTTTAAGTTGCTATTTCCTGTACATTTCAATGCCACTAAATATAACAAATACTGTTTACTTTTAGTAAATAGTTAATCTTAATGTGAATTACTTTATTTGATAAGTAACTTTCTTCCGTGAACTTTGTTTCCGTGGAATTAAAACGAACCTTAGTTCTTCGAACGAATGTACTCTTCCAGATTATGTACATCTGTGCAATATTTCATCGAAATCCGTCATCTATCTAATCTTCCGCATTTATTAACAATATTAAATATTATCTTAACACTCATTCTTAACGCGGAAGGAAAACATTGTGATGCTTCATATATCGTCTAAAAAGTTCAAAGATGTGTGAAGTCAGCCTGCAGTGAACCAGCATTGACTATAGCCTGGTTATCTTTTACTTAGAATTCGAACCCTTCGGAAGTATTTGATCGGATGAATAATCAATTCCCTTACCTTGTCCTACTCCCGTAGGAGCGGTAGGGTCTCGTCCTCCAAATAACTCTATCATCCCTTATCTCAGTCATCACTCCCTTCTTGATCATGTCACCTTTCACACAATCCATAAAATCTCTTTTTAGGTCGACCTCTATTGGATGATAATTGTAATATAATTTTACTATTATGATACATTCAAAAACATAAGAATCCAAGGTGAACAGAGATATGAATCGTATGACATTGATTCTTATATAAAAAAATCGCATGTGATTATGCAAATATAGTATTATTATTACATCATTTTATGTCTTTCTAATGATGTCTGTGATTATCATCTCTATGTCTAGTTTAAAAGAGTAATTTATATAAATATGGTTCATAAAGAGCATTTTAAAGCTTTTATGAATGCATAACTGGGAGAGTTTTGATGTATGTATGGGCGTCGTCAGGAGACAGATAGGTTAGTACTGAATAATCGTTATAAAAACTACTTCGAAAAAGTCCATTTTAATGGTAGCTACCGCCCCTTAGATATAAGTCTAGATTATCAGCTAGCCTACGATGTTTGTATGCATTACCAAATCCACAACTGAACAGATCTAGATGACATTTAATACAAATATCAAATTAAGGAACAATACAAATAAATTTTTTATTTCAATTCGACGCAGATAATGTCGTAGACCGCCAGTATTATTTACAACATCTGATCCGGGAAGAGAACAACTTTAAATTTAACGCGATATATTCCAAGTTGCTCATACTCGAAAAACCTGAATCCTACGTGACTTTGTAAAGGAATAACTAAATTAAGAATAATCAGGTACTTGATGCTATTAAAAATAAGAAATGCCTTTGAAATTTGACGCCGAACTATATCACATTTTTAAAAAAAACTGCAAGCTACGAAGGTCAATTCGTGTTATCTGAAGGTCACACACATCAACAACTGTTGCGTTTAAGATACTTACTGCGTTGGCGCAGTGAACCAAAGTGAGTCTTGGCCTCCGACATGAGAGAGCGCTAGCGTCGTCTGTCCTGTGTCGTCTCCTGGCAGCCGATCGACTTTAGCTCGCGCAGGTCCAGCTCTATGGCGTCTCGCCAGCGGTTTTTGGGCCGGCCGACGGGTCGGCGGCCAATCAATATTCGGAGATACACTTTTTTGGCTCCACGATCCTCCTCCATTCTCACCAAGTGGCCCAGCCAGCGAAGCTGGGCTTTGACTTCGCCTATGATGTTTGGCTCTCCCACCAGCCTTTCTATTTTCAGATTGTGACGTGCACGCCAGCTCCCGTTTGCCAGTTGCGTTTAAGATGCGTTGATTTTTTGTATAAGGTGACAAACCAACGAGCGGCTATCGGCCTTCGCCAAGATAGAGAACTGATGCCCATAGACATCCGTTTGCAGATGCGTTGCCTACCTTTGGCCGACAATCAGAAAGAGGATATTTCGCCTACCATACTTGCATATCATACTATTATCCCTAACCTAATCCACTTTCCTGACCCAACATTTCCTTCTACGAATAGGGTGGAAAGTAGTAACTGGAGGACTAAAATTAAGCGTCTGTTTTCTGTGTGATGTTATTTCATCTGGCGAGCGGCTCATTTGTGTGAAGACATTAAACCAGCCTCTACTAATTTTGAAATTAATAGAATGAAAAAGAATAATTGCTTTTCTATTACATTCCTCTTTTTACACGGGAACACGCCACATTTATCAAACGAAACGCGAATTTATTTCCATCTTCGCGTATCATGTGTGGGCGTGATGCACGGGGCGAGCCGGACTATTCGTGCAGAAGTTATTGCGGGCTCTACCACTGTTAAATAGGTACCAATGAGAATAATATGTAAATATCTTGATATTCTGGTTTTGTATATTTGTAATGGTTAACTTTATAGTTACTTACTTCCTTATGTAAGGTATATTACTTATATTGCAGTGTGGTTAATAGTCGTTAAGTATTTACATGTATATCACAATTAGTACACTCAGAGTTTAAAGTATTACTTGTAATGCAATAATAAAATATCACACTAGCTTTTGCCCGCGACTCTGTCCGCGTAGAGTTAATTCTTAAAAATAAATAAATAATCTAAAGTTTTGCATATATAATATTAGAAAGGTGTAAAAAATAGAAGCAAATATTAATACTTAACAATGCCCTTAGTGTTTTTCCCATCCGTGAAGGGGAATGTTTTCATCCTGTACGTTTCATCATCATCATCATCATCATCACCAGGTCACTATACGTCCCCACCGAGGGGCACGGAGTCTACCCTAAGTAAGGGTGACTAGGCCATAGTCAACCATGCTGGTCAAGTGCGGGTTTAAAGTACGTTTACGTTCAAGTACACGTTTGTTTGCCCTTAAATCTAAATGTAGGTTTATGTAAATTTGTCTCATTGCCACGGTCTGTAGCCTTAAAAAAATCCCACCTTGAAAAACATTAGTAATACAACCACGCGATTTTGTGGTTTGATTTTGGTAAGATATCGACTAAATAAGGAAACTTGGAGAAATTGATGTATCATATACGAGAATTATATCCAATAGTTTAAGGTTATAAGGAGACAAACAAAGATTTTTTTATACGTAGATGATGGACGATCAATGTTATGAAATACGAAACGCATTTTTAAAGACGCGTGTTATTTATTCAAGATTCGTTTAAATAATTTGCATTTTAATTTCTATTTAGCGTACATTATGGTGAGGAAGTTGGATATATAATTAAATATTTTATAAAAATACTAATAAATTATCAATATAACGATTTATAGTTTATTTCAACAAAAAATACCGTTACATATAAGTTGGTAAACAAATATAACCAGTACTAAACATTACATTATTATTTTTTGTCTGCCACTTTGTCCACGTATAAAAAAAAATTGGTAATATGTGTTTAACTTGTTACCGACAGCGCGGCAGCCAAAAATACAAAACACTTTTTATAAAACAAACGTATCTTTATTTAAAACTCAAAACTATATCAATCACATCTTGACTGCTTCTTTTTTATTTTCTTTTACAAAACGATTATTGCCTTGGTGGCCAGCATGCAACCTCTTTGGCTGTGTAAATACTGCTTGTCAGCCAAAGAGGTTGTATTTTGCACTCAACAATATGTGCCAAACACGCTGTTTTGGAGTTACGTGATAACAAACATCCATCCATACAAACTTTGCCATTTATATTTGATTTAATGTGTGAAGTCAAGACATACTTATCATCATATTGGACTAAAAGGTCATTAAATAAAAGTGTATTTTTAATAAATAGTCTTTAATAGTCATCATCATCATCATCATCATCATCATCTTTGTCCTTATCCTACTCACGTAGGGTCGGTTCAACAGGTTTTTGTCCTCCACATAACTTTCATACGTCATCTCAGTCATCACTCCCTTTTTAATCATGTCACCTTTCACGCAATCCATACATCTCTTTCTAGGACTACCTCTACCGATGTACCCTTCCACATTCATAACTAACGTTCTTGTAACATGCGATTCATCCTCATAACATGCCCATACCATGCTAACCTTTCACTCCTTACCTTTACTACTGGGGCTACTCTCTAATAATAGTTAGCTAGTCTTTAGTAATTTTTTCTATTTATCTTTCGCAGGGAAGACAACTTTTATGAATTGTGAGACTGGCGCCTCGACCAGCAACCAGAACGGAACCGCGATCAGGAAAGTCACAATGGAAGTGCCAATTATTACAACCATCTGAAATAATAAGAAAAAGTCAATAAAATGACCTTGATTTTTTCAATTAATTAGGCGTGGGACGTTAAAAATATCTATGTTTTTCTGGAAATAGACGTAAAAGGTTTAATTCTAGTCATTATTTAGGAATGGGTTTAAAATCTACTAATAAATCATAAGAAGAGCATATTTTTGTTTGTTTTTACCCCTGAAAGTTACGTAGTATTTGTAGCACATTGTTTTTTTTTCCCTGGATAGCATTATCCGCGTCGACATAAGGGATTCATATTTTTCTATCTTTAAAAGGCGTTGGTCCCTTTTTGAATATGTAACCTTTCATGCAATCCATACATCTCTTTCTAGGCCTACTTTCCCAGTGTGCCTTATAGTTTAAGATTATTTCTCTTAAGAAAATCAGGAACAATTTTAGAACATAACACATTCACATTTTACACTAGTAGTCCAGTTAAGTTTATAAATACTACCTACCTACTATTCACACTAAAGTTGTCCAACTCACAAACGTCACCTTCCTCATACCAAACCCATTTTGTTTCCCAATTTCTCAACCTTTGGGGCAAATTTCAGGCTTTCTCTAATATACATAAAGTCTTACCATTTGAAATTCCGTTACATATATTAATGTAGTTCTTGTCCCTGTGAGAATTTCTATAACAATGAGATGAAGTAGATACGCGGAGTATGAGAGCCGGGTTGGTGTCGTCCAGCCCTGCCACTCTAAGATTCTTCTGTAAGTATCTGGAATTATTTATATAAAAATTACAATAGCTGCAGAAGGCATGTAGTTTCTGATGAAGATGTTGAGAGAAAGAATAACGAGAGGTGGAGGAGAGTTATACAGAAAGCTGACTATAGCACCATAGATATAATAGGAAGAGAAACAAAATATATCATAACAAAAAGTATCCTTAGGTTCCTAATATTGTCTACAAAACGTCAATTTTACTTCTTACTAATCATACTAATATTATAAATGAGAAAGTTTAGATGAATGGATGGATGGATGGATGATTGTTAGAGTTTGTAATCTAAACGGCTGAGTGGATTTCGATGAAATTTGGTACAGATGTCGAGGATAGTCTGGACGAACACATTTTAAAGTTAGTACTTGTTATTAGTTGCTTCCAGACATTTGCTAAACTAACCTTCAATTCTGAGTACCATTCCTAATATGATCGCACATATTAGGATCCCAGCGACCCCTCGCAATGCACCGGAGTGTATCGCTTTGTAAACAAGAGGGACATCCATACCGTCCATGTAGAATATACCACTGGTGAGTACAACTCCAATGCCGATTGGCACAAGCATCCAGTACAAATACTTGTATTTCTAAAAAAGAAAAAAGTCTCACTTTCTTGCTTTTGCATTGTAATTGTAAATATTTTAGCAAAGTAGAAGGTATTGTTTAAGAAAATGTAATTCTATATTCTCATTTAATATAAAATAAGCAAATGCTTCGAATTAAATGATTGCTGATTAATTTCTGCAGGCGCGTCAAATGATTTGAAAAATTAATCAAGATATTTAAGCTATGCATTTGCAAAGTTATCTTTTACTTCACAAAGACTAGCCTCTTAGTATACACGTTTTCTTACACCTTTTTCTATACTGCAATTGTATATAGATATGGATTCATGATTTACTAGCGTGCAAGGTAAACACGTTTTACCGCATATATTTTCATGTCTATCTTCGTTTTCTGTAAGTTATTTATCAATAGACCAAGACTAAGTCCAGCGACGTAACAAGATATGTTTGTGTGGCCGCGTCTGTACGCATTGAATGTTGGATTATTTCTGAAGAGTGCTCGTACGAATCTAGAAAATTAACATAAATCTCAAAATCTGACGTTGATCCAATTTTAACAGTTGAATTATCATATCATACTGATATTATAAATGCAAAAGTTTAGGTGGATGGATGTTTGTTACAGTTTGTAGCCTAAACGGCTGAACGGATTTTGATAAAATTTGGTATAGACGTAAAGGATAGTCTGGAAAACATATAGGCTACTCACTGTTGTTTTATTTTATTCCATGCGGACGGAGTTGCGGGCGTAAGCTAGTATTTCATAAAGTCTAATATGGCATATAAAATTTTATCAGCGAATCCTGGTGAGGTCAAATTTGTAAAAATTTAAATGAATTTTACTAAGTAAAGAATCAAAATTGAATTTTCGTTGACCTCAGAAAGAAATAGAAGTAGACTTACATACTTACTCAGGCGTAATAGTGAAATATGCATACAAGTCTTGATAGTACGTTTGTACAGAAGGAATTATCAAAGAGATACTAAATAAAGCTGACAGTACAACAATTCTTGCTCTATTACTCTTTGCCACCACTAATGTTATTAATCCAAGTATAGACAGTTGCATGTCTGCTGCTAAATACCTAAAATAAAATAAAGATCTTGAGAAAAGGAAGGATAGAGATATTTGTAAAAAAAATATAAATTAGAGACCAATTACCTCATCGTAGACTCATCATCCACTTGCGGATGTCATCTGATGAGTCTACGATGGATGGACGAATGGGTGATGGTGCCGGACATCCTTACGGAGGATCGGCACAGTATTAGCTGCTCTTCCATACATCTCTATCAGCCGTCATATCTGAATCCACTCCTTTCTAAAGCATATTCTCTTTCACACAATCTATCCATAGTTTCTTCGGTCTTCCTCCTCTTCTCTCTCTCTTAAAAAACATAAGTAAATAAGCCTATGTAATTTTACAGACTATCTCTACATCTATTCCAAATTTCAAGTAGATCTGTTCAGTAATATAAACTACAAACTCTAACAAACAACCATCCAACCATCCATCTAGACTGGCATTTACAATATTAGTAAAATCAACACTGGTAAAGCTATACCAAGAACTGGTATTACCTTAATTATAGACGGAATAGTTAAAATGCATATTAACGTTAGAATTGTAAAGATTGCTTGATAGTCATCATCATCTTTCTCCTTATCCTACTCCCGTAGGTCGGCGCAACAGGTTTATGTCCAAATAACTCTATCGTACATCATGTCAGTTATCACTCCTTTTTTGATTATGTCACCTTTCACGCAATCCATCCGTCTCTTTCTAGGTCTACCACTACCGGTGCACACTTATAACTAACGTTCTCCTTGTAACATGCGATTCATCCCTACTCATGACATGCCCATAGCGTACTAACCTTTTATTCCTTACCTTCTCTACTCGGGCTACTTTCAAACTTCCTCTAATATACTTATTTCGTATCTTATCTATTCGTGTTACCCTACACATCCATCTTAACTTAGATTGCTTAGTGATTTTAAGATAAATTACCAAGTATGCATCATGCATTGAGATCTGTCGACATAATTGTTGACGTAAAGCATGTTGAGCCATCCGTCGCGACGACAGTCTCCGACTTCGGCGTCCATTATTTTCTGAAAGAATATTAAAACTTCGTTTAACTGTTTTGTTGATGACTGCATGTTCTTGACTGCAATCTGAAGTATCAAATGGTTTGTCAAACAAAATATGTTTTATGCCCGGTTTCCCAGCTAAATTTAACCAATCGTTAGTGTTTTTGATTCGATAACTTTATGAAATACTTTCCAGAACTATCTAACTCGAGTTTTACTACATTGAAACTTAGCTTAACCGAACACTTATGAGTCGTTTGGTAATGACAAAATAAGTAAATACTTCAGAAACCCAGTATTAATTGTATAAACTTACGTGCCATAATGGTCCAGATCCGGTAAATCTAGCCCAAGTCATGATAAAAGCTAACACTATAAAATACGGTGGTGTTAATCTGGAAAATGTTTATGCATATTTATTTCTCTTTCCTACGAAATTATTGATTATTGGAGCGGGCGCACACCTTTGACTAAACTATCGCACAACTGTTGTGCGATTGTCGGTTGTTACGTAACCAATTCAACTGTTTAGTTGCACAACTCAAATCGAGTAGTCTACGCACCTCCATTAAATCTAATAATAATCAAAGCGAGACTAAACAGTTGTGCGATAGTTTAGTCATAGGTGTGCACGCTCTTAGGCAATACAATCTTACCTTAGCCATCTTAAAAATATTCCTTTGGGTATAATCTTCCAATTTAATTTACCTTTTGAAGCAAATAATTCTAAATAGTAAGCCAACAGACATCCAGACATAACGAAGAATGTCTGCACGATTATAGTGCCATCTAGCAGCAAGTGGTATAGAATGTTATTGTATGCCTGGAAAAGAAACCTACACATGTTACGAAAATAAATTTTGCAAGAAGATGGTAGATAAGTATGTAGGCTTACTCTATGCCCATGGCGAACACCGAGCACTGGTAGGGCGGCCATTTTGTCATTCGAGTCAGTTCGATTCGAGTCGCGACGGAGTGCGTACGCGACCATGTGTTCGGTGGACGTCAATTCAATATCTTAATCGAAACATATAGTTACGATCTATAATTATTTAGTGGAAATATGAATTGTGATATTGAGGATTACGACTACACCAACTATCAAGACAACTATTTTGTTGAAATACCTAAGTACCACGCCTACAAGAAAATGTCATAAATCACCCAATATTACCTGATGTTAGTCGAAAGACTTCAAGTAAATACATAAAGTTCTTTCCTAAGCATCTATTCCTATAATATGTTCACTTCATGATCGTTATCAATTGATGATCTAGATTCTAGAAAGGTATAAAAGGGTGGGGAGAGCTATCATTGGTTTAGTCTTATTGAAGTTTTATGTCTTTTTTATTTTGAGTCTCCAACTTTTGGAATGCGCAGAAGACTACTAGAAGACTAAAATTTGGATCTCCGCCGCCCACACTTATGCCTATCTTCCTTAATGCAATGGTTGAGTGGAACATTTGAGGAGTTGACTCTACCATTAGATGAAACGTGTATTTCTGATTTTAGTTTTTAAAATATTCCATAATAAACTTACATCTTCTATTTTCTTCGTATTATCTCCAGCGACCACGAATGGCAGTATCGAATGTTCCACCATCACCAAAAATATTGTTATTAACCTGTAATGTTTCAATTTGATACAAACTTACTTCTGATATTAAGGTATTTACTTATTTTAAACTTTGTTTTATTAGTAACTAGGTTTGCCTGTGACTCCCACCGCGTGGAATTAAAAAAAAAACAAAAGTGTGCCTATGTGTTCTTCCAGACTATCCTCTACATCTATACCAAATTCCATTAAATTCCGTTAAGCCATTTACGCTACAAACTCTAACAAACATCCATCCATCCATTCACCCATCTAAATTTTCGCATTTATAATATTAGTATGATAATCCAAATATAGATTTACATTAATTTTGAGCTCTTGATGGCTTTTGAGATTAACAATTTCACGGAGATTTAAAAGATTCGTTTAGTTGAATTAACGCATTTTTAGTTATAAATTCGCACCTCATGCCATTAAGTCCTTGAAGGCGTGTTACTACTGTTTTAGCACCACTCCCTGAAGGTGCCGTCAATTTTCGCCAGTTTTCCTTCACTGAGAAACATAGCAGCCATTTGTTACCTGAAATAGTAAAATTTAGTTCATGAATGTAAAAATTTGATTTTTTGACAAATATAAGGAAATAGACCGATTTCATCTATTCAATAAATTACGAAGGAACGTAACGCGACTTAAGTTGAGGAAGTGAAATCTGTTGACTCAAGACCAGTGGTCCACAAAATATTGGACTTGCCTTGTTAAATTTGGGTTCATCTCTTTGTATTTTTGTGTTACACGGCTTTAATACTTGATCGTAACTAAGTAGATATTAGTGGCATCAGGTCTATCATCAGTTGGAATAATGTATAATTTGAAATTGATAATTATCAGGTCAAATCTTATGTAACTTATTTATTTCATTGCCAACAGTAATGTAGTGTCTCTCAGCATTATACGCAATTTGTATTTATCTAGTATTTTTGAATTGAAATAAGCAGATTCTATTTCCAATAACTGTTTTGCAATTTAAATTTCAAGGTGATCTTTGGAAAATTCTGTAAAGCATTTATTTCTTACATTTTTTGTTTCACGTTACATTCAATTAAGACAGACTTTTGAAGTAGTAGTTATCTTAAAAGAATCTTGACCATTAAAAAAATATGATAATCTCAACGTCGTTCTGGGAAAATCAGTAAAATAACAATATTTGTAACAATGTTAACAATGGTAGAGACACCAATAAATCAATACAAAGGCCTTTTTTCAATCCCTATCCCCTCCTCCCGTTTCTTACAGGGGAGAAGTTGGGATTGGGAAGTGGATGTAGCTAAGGAGCCCTCTTTCGTCATGACCACGCATAGGACAAAAAATTCCCCTTCTGTGTGTCCCCCGGCGATTAAAGATAGACAACGCATCTGCAAATGCGGTTTTACTATAAAAATGTTTAGTAACATCTCTATCGATCCAAAAATACAAATTTAAAGAAACTAAATATTTACCATCATTTCCTTTTATGAAAAAATCATAAAGACTTCCTATTAAATTTAATAGAATTAAAAATAAACAGAATACTGCAAAGGCAATATCTGGCAGCTCAAATTTCTCTTCTTTCTTCTGATTATTACAAAACATATCATTTACTTTAGTTTTAAATTTGTAATTCTTCCAATATGAATCATTCAAACATCTCTCGACGTTTACTTCAAGATCTCGTGACGAGTTTTTTAAATAATCAGAACACATTTGAGTGACACAGATTCCGTGAAACAGCCTCGTGTGGTTGTAATGAGTTTCTTTTCTTTCGCTATATTCCTGAAACATCATAATTAAAAATCAAATACATAATAAAACTATAAAATTAAGATCTTACTATTATAAATGCGAAAGTTTAGATGAATGAATGTTTGGTTGAAAATTTGGTACAGATGTAGAGAATACTCTGGAAGAACACATAGTCTATTCACTTTTGTTTTGAAAGTAGCGCCAGTTGTGGAGAAATTGAGAAGCAAAAGGTTAGGGTGGTATGGACATGTTTTGCGACGAGAGGATGGGGACATAAACCAGAAAGTGTTAAGATCGAATGTGGATGGCTACGGCTAAAGGTAGAAGAAGACCAAAGAAAGTATGGATGGATTGTGTGAAAGAGGATATGCTTAAGAAAGGAGTGTATCCAGATATGACGGCTGATAGAGATGTATGGAAGAGCAGCACATACTGTGCCGACCCTCCGTAAGAGATAAGGGCAAGTTCATGATGATGATGAACATTTTAATATTTTATGATAAAAGTAAATTAATACTGCTATAGGATTGGTTGTATTATTACAACACAGGAAACTAAAGGTTTAAAAAACCGTTCAATGGACCCTACGTAAACTTAAGTAACTGCAAAAGTCATAATTTAAATGATTGTAAACAAACATGTACTCAAGTTCTAATTCCCACATAAATGATTTTTTTGTAATACAATTCAAGATAATAAGGAAATAATTATCAAAGATCACTTTAATTGCATTATTTGTAACACACCGGAAGTAAAACACACATAATAGTTACTGTTATAATCAAATGTAAAAAGGCATAATTAACTTAATTACTTAAATTATGATTTCACTGACCCGAATCATATTAAAAAGATCATTTTCTTCGTCAACAACAAGGTCAACATTCATCGTACAATAAATACCATGTTTTTGATTAATACATATTTCATAACGATCGAAATTAAAGACTGGTGGCATACGAGCGTAATCCGTTTCTGAAAACAATCGTAGAGAAACAAAATATAATAAAACATTATAAAAACACTTTATAACTAATTATTAAACAGTTAGTATTCCGTCGACACGCCGACTAGTTTTGGACCCATCGAGGGTCAATTTTAAAACTCAAATAATCGCCCTGAAAATGGACCCCGATGAAAGGTGAATAAAATTGATACCCTAAATACATATCTTAAATTACACTACAAAATAGTGAATACATTAGCATGCTAAATTTCTGCATGTTTAGGTTAAATCTATACGGAAAATAGTCAACTTTAGCCACAGATAATCCAAAAGAAAACATAGCTTTGATCTTTGTCTATAATTTGACTAATAATACGAAAGATGGATGCATGTAGGTTTGTTAGAATTTGTAGCCTAAACTGCTTAACTGATCTCGATAAAATTATGCATACTTGTAGAGGATAGTATGGTAGAATTCAAAGGCTACCTACTTTTGTTTTGTTTTTTATTCTACCCGGACAGTGGCACGGTGGATAGTTAGTAATGTAAAGAGGAAAGAATTGTTCGTTTACATTGAACAATCCTGGTAAGTACTATGCGTATTTGAAAAATTCCTTCAATGTTTGGACTCTACGTTATCCCCAGGTGACACAGGCTATACTTGTTAGAAGATTATTTAATCTTGCAAAGACGAAGTCGCGAATAAAAAAAAAGACATTTCAATTTATTTTTCTATCGATGGATCATAAGTAAAAAGACATGAAAAAGGCAAAGAATTAATTGAACTATATATATTAGGTATAAATAAATAAAGTAGTACATACCGTTCAAATTGTAAATCACTGCTGTAGATTGTGAAAACGTGTATAATAATATAAATAAAATCATTTTTGTATGTTTCACACTTGCGCACGCGTGTATCGGTTAAATCCTAATGAATGAGTGTGGGCTATCACGTCAATACCAATATTCAAATTAAGGTTACTTTAGAGATTTCGTCAAGAACTTAGTTGTCTACAGTTTCACAGTTTTTTTTATATAACTATTGGTATTGCGTAGAATAACTTCTGTTATCTCATTTTACTAATGTTATAAATGCGAAAATTTAGATGGATTCAGACTTTTACAGATAGTAGCGTAAATTGATAATGGACTTCGATGAAATTTGATATTATTACGCATAGGCTAGTATTGATCCTGAAGAAATAAAGTAAAGGTTTCCTTATGGTCACGTATCCTTTATTTTTTCATGATTACTCAATAATTCAACTGGTCAGCACATCTTATTGAAATTTGGCACAGAGATTAAAATAAATCGCAGAATAACAAATGGGATAAGATACTTACTTACTTACTTACTGCGTTGGCACAGCGACCCAAAGTGGGTCTTGGCCTCCGACACGAGAGAGCGTATGGGATAAGATACATCCCTGAAAATGTCAAATTTCCCAGTGATACGTAGTTTTTTGTTTTTCATAAGTCGTATGTTTTTTCTTATTACTGCTCGGACGAAGTTGCCGGCAACAGCTATTGAATATAAAAAAGAAATCCGTTAAAGTTGATTAAGAATGTTGTTTATAATTTAGGGTAATATTAAATTGATTTGTATCCTGCGAAACTTTGCCGATAGCTCCATGACGTCACGTGTTGACTGACAGTACTGTGCAGAGGAGTACGAAAAGGTCGGTGTTATTCTGGGAAGTCATCGGCAAACTTTTTACGGAAGGTTAATATGATGAAAACCTTTTTTGCTGACTCTACATGGAGTAGGGTCAGACGGATAACTCCCTGAGAGTTAATTACACTTTATATAAACTTTTGTACTGAGAAAAGACAATATAAGGTTAAATTATACACTTGTACGTGACCTTACGCTTTGTCGATAATTTTAAAAATAATTAACAATTTGAAGTGGAAAATTTTTTTGCAAATTATTATTTCTTATACTATTTGCCTTGAAAACAATTAGCATGTTGATACCAACAATGGTGTTTTCGTATAATTTTCTACAATAACATAAAAACGAGTATTCCATTTTTTCTGCAAAACGTGGAAGTGCGTTGGTGTACTAAAATAAATTCCCTTCCCATTTAGTATTGACTAGCTTTCGTGCGCGACTCCGTTCGCGTGGAATTATTAAGTAAGTAGCTTATGTGTTCTTCCAGACTATCCTCTATATCTATGCCAAATTTCATCGAGATCCTTAGAAGTTTCCAAAAGTCTCCAAAAGTTTAGAGTACAAACCCTAACAAAGATCCATCCAAACTTTCGCATTTATAATATTAGTATGCTAGTATGATTGTCTAATAAACGGTTGTATAAAACATAAAATTCTGCATCTAAGACATTTCAAGTTTTATTGCCCGCTTTAACATCTTAGCACGAATGGGTCGGCACGCCCGGAGTAGTACCACGACCACACAGAAGACAGGCGTGAAATGGAATCAATTCCGTGTTTCGTCTGATGAGAGTGGTGCCGGAGGCCTAATTTAAGTCCCTTTCTCTTTACCACCCTTTTCTTATAAGGAGAAGTTAGGAAGAGGAAGTTGATTTGACGGTGGAGGAGATGCATAGGAAGGGGAAATATCCTCTTTATGTGCGTCTCATCTTCCGTTGTATAAGGGTAGGTAACGCATCTGCAATTGCGGATGTCTATGGGCATCGGTCGCTTCGACGTTTTGGCGGTTTTAGGTGGCCGCTTGCTCGTTTGCCACAAAAAAATAAATTATTGACTCTGTCGTCTCGGTTAACAGCGTGCGCACACCTTTGACTAAGCAATCGCACAATTGTTTAGTCTCACTTTGATTCCTATGAGCTTATATGGAGGTGTGCACACTACTAGATTTTTAGTTGTGCAACTAAACAGTTGAATGGGCTGCGAAACAATCGACAATCGCACAACAATTTTTGTGTTAGTTTAGTCAAAGGTGTGCGCTCGCTCTTAGATTGAGATCGATGATCGATAATGATGTTGCTATGATCTAGGCTAAGTCTAGAGGAACCATTAGTAGTCATTTTCAAAATAGTTTTTCGTCTTATTATCTTTCTATTCTGCAGCTGCTGCGGCTGCCCTCAAAAAGGTACTATTCAAATTTGAATGAAATTGGTAAAATTCCTTTACTACTTGATGTCCACCGATTTGCTTATTAGTTTTTATTCTCTAGTTATTGTCATTTCAAAACGCTATGGTTTATTAGTTTTATTTATCATTTAACCTTCGGCGTATTTTTAACGTTATTCTAATTTTTATCAACGTCACGTTTTTAAGTCTATAAAAATGTTATATTAATTACATCGTTGCATTTTAATCTGATTATGACATGGTACCCACAGTAATAAAAAATCGTGATTCGTTCTAATCAAAAACTGAAACTTTGAATTTATTGTTTGGAAAAATGTTGTTTTTCTTGATTTAATTCCAGTAATATAAGTACCGGCTTCTTTTTTCTTTTTATAATATAAGGTGGCAAACGAGCAAGCAAAAAAGATCCCTTCGTCGTCAATCTCCGGTTTGAGAACACTCCCCTGGTTGCCACAGCCAATATCGGTATTCTCGGCGTTGACATATCGAGTGACGTTCAGTTTCGCGGTCATTTGGAAGACAAGGCCAAGCTGGCCTCTAAAAAGCTGGGTGTGCTCAATAGGGCGAAGCTGTACTTCCAGCCGGGCCACCGCCTTTAACTTTACAAGGCGCAAGTTCGGCCCCATATGCTCGCACCTCTGGGCGGGAGCACCCCAATACCAGCTTCTTCCATTTGGCCCCATACAACGGAGAGCGACTCGAATCGTCAACGACCGAGCTCTTACCGATCGGCTAGATCCTCTGGCCTTGCGGAGGGACGTCAGTTCCCTCTGCATCTTTTACCGCATTTACCACGGGGAGTGTTCAGAGGAGTTGTTTGGAACGATTCCTGCCGCCGAGTTTCGTCATCCGACGACACGACAGACCGCCAGGTACCATCCTCATCATCTCGATGGCTGGCATTCCACAACCGTGCGGTTTTCGCGGAACTTCCTGCCCCGCACAGCCGCGTTGTGGAACGGTCTGTCCTCGGCGGTATTTCCAAACTAATACGACTTAGGGTCCTTCAAGAAGCGAGCCTACTATTTCCTCAAAGGCCGGCAACGCATCTGTAGTTCCTCTGGTATTGCGGATGTCCATGGGCGTCGTTGACCACCTTTGTGTCCCCGCCGCTCGTTTGCCCGCTTCTCATATATTAAAAAAAAAAGCGGCCACCTGAATCCACCGAAATGGAAAGCGACCTCTGCCCATAAACATCCGCAATTGCAAATGCGTTGCCTACCCTAGATTGACGGAGGAAAAGCATATAAAGTGAACATTTCCCCTTCCTACGCGTCTTCTCCACCGTCAAAGCAACTTTTCTTTCCCATCCTTTCCTTTTAGGAAAAGGGTGGAAAGGGAAAGGGACTAAAATTAGGCCTCCGGCACCACACTCATCAGACGAAAGGCGGAATTGCTTCCACTTTACGCCTGTTTTCTGTGTGGTCGTGATATTGCACCTGAGAGTCAATGTGGCGGACGTAAATTATTTTCCTTATAATTTCGTTCTAGAGAATGTACTTCTTTTTGAGCAAGGTACTAAATAATTCATTTTAGGTACGTTTTTTTAGTAAGTGGTAGTAATTTAATTCGCTGCGGTATACCCGCCATTTTGACTCTAGCTGGACGCTTACATTATGGTACGGTCAAGTGAGTAATAATAGAGCCGACCGCAACGTTTTGCTCCGTTCTTAATTAAGTCTACTAAAGCCTATAAAATATTTTATTGATCGTAATGCAACCGGTTTTAAAAATGATACCTTTATTTTAACTAATATTATAAATACGATAGTTTAGATGGATGGATGTTTGTTAGTGTTTGTAGTGTAAACGGCTGAACGGATTTTGATAAAATTTGGCATAGATGAAGAGGATAGTCTGGAAGGACACATAGGTTACTTGCATTTGCTTTTTTTAGTTCCGCGCAGACGGAGTCGCGGGCGAAAGCGAGTTATTTTATATTTCAAGGCTGCATATTTTTACGTCGCATCTAACCTTGTATTTTGTATAGAAATCAATGAAACAAAATGCTTGTTATAACAACGATTAGGGTTCGTTAATATAAGATAGATTTTTTTTTTAACATTGATTAGGAATATAAAAAAAAACAATCTTTTATCGGTAAAATTCGTATATTTCCATAACTTTTTAAACCTAGATGTAGAGACATTATTTGGCCTAGTTTTTTATACATAACTAGTTGTTGCTCGCGACTTCGCCCGCGTAAAACAAAAAAAAATATTAAAAACGTAGCCTATGTATTTGAACACGGTCCAGTAGTTTTTAAGTTATTTTAATACATATAAAAATACAAAACTTTCTTCTTCATAATATTACTAGCTTTCACCCGCGACTCCGTTCGCGAGGAATTAAAAAAGTATGTAGCCTACGTATCCTTACAGACTATCCTCTTCATCTGTACCAAATTAAAAAAAATCCGTTCAACCGTTTAGGCTACAAACATTAACAAACATCCATCCATCTAAACTTTCTCATTTATATTAGTATAAAGTATAGTACATAATATACAAAAAATACAAAAATACTAGTAAGTCCCTTTTCATTCCTGTCACTGAATTAGACTTAATCTGTACATCTTCACCGCAACTGACTTTTGTCTTTCAAATCGCTGGATGTTAACAACTTCACGATTTGGTTAACTGGTGCTTCGATGAATAACCAAAGAGGGACTGCTGCTAAGAAACTAATCGCTATTGAGCCCACACATGTCGACATCTGAAATAAATCATAGTAACAGTGGTAGAGCCAGGTTCAACATCTTTGCAAGAATAGGTCGGCTCGCCACACGCATTACCAAGATCACACAGAAGACAGGTGTGAAGTGGAAGCAATTCCGCGAACAGTCTGATGTGTGTGGTGCCGGAGGCTTAATTTTAGTCCCTTCCCCGTTCCACTCTCTTCTTATAAGAAAAAGATTGGATGGGAAAGTGGATATGACGGTGGTGGAGGCGCATATGAAGGGGAAATATCCTCTTTATGTGCGTCTCCTCCTCCGTCGATTGATTATTTGCGAAGTGGTCGTTTCGTCATTTAAGCAGATTTAGGTGGTCGCCCGCTCGTTTGCCACCTTATAATATAACAAAAACAAACTTATAATTGCGAAAGTTTAGATGGATGGATGTTTGTAACAGTTTGTAGCCTGAAAGGCTGATTGGATTTCGATGAAATTTGGTAAATGTAGAGCGTAGTCTGAGAGATCACATAGGTTACTCAGTTTTTTTTTAATTCCAAGCGGACGCAGTCGCGGGCGAAAGCTAGTAAATAGATAGATGCTGTGATTTTGTATGCGCTAAATTAAAAACTTTTTTAGCACGCACTTTTCCAAGCAGAATCTTTGTACCAAAATCATTTATGCCAAAATTATCCGTTTAGCGATACTATCATGAACTTTTTTTCATAAGGTGGTAAAAGAAGAATAGGCCTAAATTCTCGACAAAATATAGAAACGACTGAAGTTTTAGACATTCGTAAAATGTAGACTATTTTCAATCTAGCTAAGCTCGAGGTCCATTCGTGCGAAGTTGTTAAGGTTGGCTACCACTGTTAGAATTTATAAATTTATACAGTACATTTTTATTGTTTTACTTACAACTTGAGGTATTGTGATGTGGTTCAATGTAGTTCTGGAGTACGTGGGGATCTGTATCAAGGTGAGATGCAGAATGTACGCGGAGTACGACACGCGGACCAGCGACGTCCAGCCGCGCCATTCTAATATCGGTCGATAGATATCTGAAAAATATAAATAACTTTACTTTACATCGCATATTTACTATATTTAAAAATGCTGAAATTCTTCTGTTATCACAGTTAGTAAAGCACACTAAAGACTATCAGCCGAGATAGTCGGGCACTTGATCAACTGAGTTTAAGCAAAATTTGTACTAATGTTTGTTTTATATGATTTTGGCTTGACAGCCAGTCGCGATCAAGTTATTGCCTGATAAACTTTGTAGTCTATGGGGGCTTTACGTGACGTAAAATCTAAAATGGGCAAACTGTCCAATTTCTTATTCATCCGAATATTATTAATAAAAAAAATTCTTTATACTTCGACTAATGGGCGACCAATACGCATAATAACTCTAAACTGTCGTGGTCTTTACAGACATAACGTTCGTAAGATACGGGTTACTTAATACGATTTGATTGTTTTAGCTACCGATATTTCGGCACAGTTGCATTTGAAATTGCATTTTTTTTCCACACTACCGCATCACATCAGTCAGCCCGTGAACATGGCGCATGCAACTATGCTGAAATATCGTAAGCTAAAACAACCCAATCGTGGTAAGAAACCCGTATCTAACGAATCTTATACGCATATATCAAATGCGTATTTCAAATACGAACTTAAAATAATTATAAAGTCTTGACACGCGTACTAGTATATTATTTAATTTACTCACTTTCAATTTTAAACACCATTCCAAACATTAAAGCAGATAATATCAATCCATAGATAGATCTATATGTGCCGGAATAAACAGCTCTGATTATCACATGTGGTGTTACACCGACCAAGTAGAACAAGCTACTGCAGTATATAATTATGACTATCATGGGGAGAGTTGCCCAAACCAAATACTTGTATTTCTGAAAAAGGAAATTATCTTGAAGTTTTCGTGACGTCACAAGTCGAACGCTAGGCCTCTCTATCGTTTCTTCCGCGATCTCGCTCGCACACTCAGCTCAGCCGAAACATAACGAGTTATGCTACATTATGCCTGCAGCTGGCGTTTATAGATTTACTAGCTGTCTCCCGCGACTCCCTCCGAGTGGAATAAAAAAAAAGTAAATAGCCTTTGTGTTCGAGACTATCCTCTATATCGATGCTAAAAAATACCCATCCATTCATCTTAATTTTCACTTTTATAACATTTGTAAGGTGCAAGAAAGTAAGTTAAGTCAGACCAAGGAACTGTGGATACAAGAGACCGTAATAATAATTTTCAATTTTAATATCCAACTAGAATCTTATCGTTTAATTTTTTTTTATAATATAAGGTGGCAAACGAGCAAGCGGCCACCTGAATCCGCCAAAATGGCGAAGCGACCGCTGCCCATAGACATCCGCAATTGCAGATGCGTTACCTACCCTTATCCGACAGAGGAGGAGATGCACATAAAGAGGATATTTCCCATTCCTATGCATCTCCTCTACCTTCAAATTCACTTCCCGTTCCCATCCTCTCCTTGTAAGAAAAGGACTTAAATTAGGCCTCCGGCATCATCGGATGAAACACGGAATTGCTTCCACTTCACGCCTGTCTTCTGTGTGGTCGTGGTATTACACCGGGCGTGCCCTGCAGTACTAAGATGTTAAAGGGGCACTACCACTGTTGAATCTACTTTTAAAACACGAATAAAATATGTTTGCAGTGGAACTAGTACCTTATATCTTTCAATGGCAAACTGCTTTTGCTGCAATTTGTAAATCAGAAGGCCGAGGCTGAGCCCTAAAATGTAGCACGTCATATTTGTATGGCCGCGCTTGTACGAGTTGTTGAATGTTGGATCTTTCACGAAATACTCCCGAGCAACTCTGAAAAAAAAAACAATGATAGGTATTAAGTGGAAGTCATTTCGATGTCAGTCGTTCTGATAAATGAGCGTGGAGCATTAGTCCAAATCCGTTTCCCATTTTTTATACAAAGAAAGGATGGTAAAGATTGGCAACGCGGCCACAATGCGCATGTCTATGGCCAATTGGCCATTAGGCAAATTCTCATGGCCACTAGCTCTTCTGTCACCTTATAAAAACGTAAATAACAATTTAGGGCTATCCAGTGACTAAAACTAGATATCGCAGTCTCTATTATATTAAAGATAATGTTACCGATGACCGTAATAATAGAAGTGGGACTGAAGTGAGCTAAAGAAAATAAATGTGTAATAAATAACGGACTTACTCAGGTGTAATAATAACGTGAGCGTACAGATTTTGAAAGTACGTGTGTAAAGGAGCCATGAATAAGGATACGATGAAAATAAATGACATTACAACTTTTCTCTGCAGATCTTTCGTCAACACCATTATGAATGTTCCTAATGTAAACAACTGCATATCTGCAGCTAGATACCTGGAAATATAAGCAAAATTTCTGAGTCTAAAGCAGCATTTTACTGCACTCGTCCAGTGCAATACTACCAACGCACAAAAGACAGGCGTCAAATATCAGCCACCAAATATCTTATCTAATGTTAGCTGTCTGTTTTTTCAAAAGATACAATTGTTTTGGTTTCGTAAAATTCCACTTATTCAATTTATGGTACAGATATCAAAAAAATGTTATCATCTCAAAAGGAGTGCGCATTTTGACTTTTATTTTTCTGTAAACTTTTATTTTATTATACAAGACAGTTTTATTATCAGAGATTAAGTTCTCACCAAGTGTGACCCATACAGCGAGTGTTGTCAAAATAATTGTTTATATACAGCATGTTCTGCCAACCGTCCCTCCGACAGTCATGCATTTCTTGTCCTATCATTTTCTGTCAAAAATATTTAAAACTTACTTACAAAGATTGTCTTATTTGTGTCGACAAATAACGCAATTGTGGGATTTGTGAAAAATATCGCGGCATATTTGCATGATGCGATGACACATTAGTTACACTGTTTAGTCTTGCTTAGACTTCTAGGAGCTTATATTGGGATGCGCACACTACTAGATTCTTAGTTGTGCAACTGAACAGTTGAATCGTCAGCGAAACAAACGACAATCGCACAGCGTGTGCGATAGTTTAGTCAAATGTGTGCGCCCGATCTAAGTAATATAAATAAAATAAATGTTTGTTGAAAATTCCATACTTGCCACAGCGGGCCCGAGCCAGCAAATCTTAGCCACGTCGTTGAAATTGCCAGGACTACTACGTATGGCGGAGTTAGTCTAAAAGAAATAAATTAACAATATTTAATAACAATAACACCGTTTTTTAATAAATGTTAAAATTATTAACTATTAGCTTTCTTCCGCGAATCCGTCTGCGTGGAATTAAAAAACGAAAGTAAGGATCCTATATGTTTTTCCAGATATCCTCTACATCTACACCAAATTTCATTAAAATGCTTTCAGCAGTTTAGGCTACAATCTCTAACACACATCCATCTAAACTTTCGCAATTATATTAGTACTAGCTTTCGTCCGCGACTCCGTTCGCGTGGTATTAAAAAAACCATAAGCAAGTAGCCTACATGTTCCTAATATGCTCCGATCCGTTCAGCCGTTTAGGCTACAAACTTTAACAAACATCCATTCAATCATGTAAACTTTCGGATTTATATTAGTATGATGTAAAGTGCGAATATAGTAAAACTTACCGTAACCACCTTAACAAAATTTTTTTAGGTATCATTTTCCATGTTACATTGTCTTTCTGCGAAGACATTTGATTATAAGATAACAAACATGCAGAGATCATGAAGAAGGTCTGTATTACCACAGTACCATCGACTAGCAAATGATATTGAATTTTACTAAACATCTGTAAAAAACATGAATTTCCATTACCAAAATATAATAAATCTCAACAACTATGAAGCTGCCGTTAAGGCGAAGCGACTGCTGCCTAAATATAATACCTGTAATTTCAGATACATTGCCTCCCCTTAATTGACCAAAGAGGAGACGCGCATATAGAGGATATATCCCCTTCTTACAAGTCTTCTCCACCATCAATACCACTTTATAAGGTAAGGTTAGGTAAAGGACTGTACGCGGAATTGCTCCCACTTCACGCCTGTCTTCTGTGTGGTCGTGGTATTACCAGCCTACAGTTCGAAGATGTTAAAACGATCTCTGCCAGTGTTAAAATGAAAAGGGTAGAAAGTGTTTTGATTAGAATAGGCTTCTTGTAAGGTTAATTATCTACTTACTTTTTCATAATAATGCGTGTTGTCTATGAAAGATCCAAATGGTAATAAGGAGTGTATCGATATAACCAGAAATATAGTTATAACTCTGAAACAACAGAAAAATATATATGACAGTTAACGAATACATGAATTTATGTATACGTTTACTATTATAGCATTTGCCCGCGTCTCCGTCCGCATGAATTTAAAAATAACAAAAGTATGAAGCATATGTGCTCTTACAGACTATGGTCTACATCTGTGCTTCATTACTTCAATTTAAACTAACAAACATTCATCTATCTAAACTTTTGCATGTACAATGTTAGTAATTTTAGACAACTTATTTAATTGATACTGTCGCTTTAAACTCAGAGCAACACTCCTCGTCAGGACTCAGGATGCGCGCCAATCTATCCATCCTTCTAGTGACATTGACAGCTGTCAGCTAGGGACGTGACGTTTATGCCGATAATCTAGAGTTGCGCCAATTCTACAGCACGGTACTAATTTTGTTCTAAACAGTAAGAAGAAGTGAAGAGTACATTACAATTTTTATACGTACTTCATGCCGTTAAAACTTTGAAATTGATTATCACTATTCTCTCTTGATCCTTCTGTTAATTTGTACCAGTTACGTTTTACTGAGAAGCATAATAACCACTGCATGCCTGTGAAATGAAATGTTATATTGCAGGAGGATCTTATAAAACGCCACTGTAAAGAGTATTTAAAAACAAGCCATCAGTCTGTAAATTATAAGTCTGTGTTATAAAATATTTTTAATTACCTGCGTTATTTTTTACGATCAGTATATCGTAAACACTTCCAGCCAAGTTGATCATGAACATACAAAAACATACCACAGCAATTACTATATCTCCAGTCTCTATATGATATATTGGCTCTTTACTATGACATATAACATCTTCGTTTAATTTAACTTTCAATTTGTATTCCTTCCAAAATGACGTATTTAAACATTTTTCAACAACCACATTTAAATCTTTTGAATTAGTCGTCCTCGGTTGTATATCGCACGATTTCATCAAACATATACCATAATGTAGCAATGAATGATTGAAATGTACTTCTTTCCAGTCACTGTATTCCTGTAAAACAGTAAAATCAATTACTAAACAGTTTTCTTTTAGAAGGTCTAAATTAGCGGCGGATCCAACGTCGATAGACATAAACGTCAGAGGAACTGCTAATGAGGAGGAGAGGGCGTCCTACTACGAGATATTAGGGCAATTCCACACGGTTTTTCGGCCTATATACCTATATAACTATTATATGGTGCGAATACGGCTAGTTTTATTACTACCATACGTCATAATATATTTTAACTAACTTCCAAAAGAAGGTGGTTCCCAATTCGTCTGTATGGTTTTTAACGCGTGTTCGAGGTTTTTGAAATGTATGGAAGAGCAGTACATACTATGCCGACTCACCTTAGAGACAAAAGCAAGTTGATGATGTTTGAACGACAAAATTGGACATTTTAAATAAGGTAAACTTACGTGTATCATATCTAGGAGTTGGCTTTCTTTGTCTGCAACTAAATCAATTTCCACGATACAATAGATTCCTCCTGTTTGTTGAATACATGACTCGTAAGGGTCAAGGTGGAAGATTGGCGGCATTTTAACATATTCCGTTTCTGAAACAACAAAAAATAAACATTTGCTCAGGGTTACCAGACAGAAAACTATAAAATTTAATGTTACATTTACTATACGTTTAACATAAAAAAACAATGACCTCAATTTGTAAAAAAAAAAATAGCTAGAAAATGAATACAGATAAAAAAAAATAACTCGTGTGGTTTTTTAATGTTTTTTTAACAATAAATAGATTTAAAGCCTCTTTTTGTCGACATTTAATTTTAAATACTAAGTTACTTACCGTTTAATTGATAAATCACTCCCGATACCCGACAAAACGTGAAAAATAAAATTATTAAAATCATCTTTATTGTTATTTTTTACACTTTATATGGCAAAAACATAAGTATTGCGTATAGACATTTCCATGTACAACTCCACACAACATAACCTGAACAAGGAATGATCGTAAACTGTCGGTTCCGATTGGAGAGACAGGTGTATAGACAATTATTGTTGTCTCTATTTTATCAAAGAGAATGTCAGAGACAACACTATGTGTAATACAAAGGCCAGTGTAGTGTGGTTCTAAGTTTACGTATAATCGTGGGCCAATCGTGTCGTTAAAAATCTTTGCAAAAGGTCTGTGTGAGGTCAATTGATAAATAAAAATCCTTGAAACATTAATTAATTAAAAATTTACTTTAAAGTTATACTTTTCTTACGGTAAAGGAAAATATCGTGTTGCAAATTAACATATAAGCGAGGTGATTCAAAGTATAAAGTAAATCCTCTCTGGGCCACTGACTACGGCCTATCCACCACTTTTGGGTAGGTTCCGAGACCCATAGTAATATTCTAAAAACAACTATTTTTTGACAATATAATTATTTACAGGAAAGTTATATTATTTTTAGTAAAAGTTACTTAAATAAAAACTGGCTGTTGGCCGCGACTTCGTCAGCATGGCAAAAAGGGGCCTAAGTTACTCTTGCAAATATAATGTAATTGAATGATTAAAATTCCCACGTATTTTTTTTGAACAAGACTACTTCGTAAACTTGACGATTTTTTTTGTACATTCACGAAGTGCGCAATTTATGTAAATAAAAACCATGGAAGTTTTATCAATGTAGTTAATCTTTTTTTTGTTTCTAAGATAAATATCAAATAGGATATTGTTTTTCTCAGCATAAAACAATTAATAACAGTTTTTCCAACAACATTTGTACTTCAAATTGCTTTAATTATGGGTTTAATTATAATTACCATATGATCCCTACAAAATATATCTATTTCGTGAAAAATAAATAAGGTAATAAAAACCAAAAATAAAGTTTTTTCATCTTACGGCCGAATACTTAAACGAATTTCAAATACTTAACAGACGACAATGTTTTAATGTAGCCTGTTTTACGATGCTGTTTCATGTAATGTCGTTTTAGTATTCGGCCTTTACCTCCACTATTTATCTATACTAATATAATAAAGAGGAAAGATTTGTATTTTTGTATGTATTTAAATAACTCAAAAACTACTGGGCCAATTTTAAAAATAATTTCAACATTAGAAAGGAAATTTATCTGTGAGTAGCACAGGTTATATTTTATTATGACCAATGATGAGGAACTATTAATAAACAACATATTTCTGGACCACGGCGGTAAAAAAATCACAATGTTTTAACTTTTCTTGGCTTACGCTGCCTAAACCGTTAGATATATAAAAATGATAATTCTTATCCAAATAAATGCGTTTGTTGTTAGGAGAATTTAATGTAAAATAAAATTGACCTTTACAGTATTTAAATTGAACTAATAGTTTAGAAGATATCGCAAACACAAACAATAAGGGAACTGAAAAATCAGGACACAAACTACCGGGCTTAGAAATTTGGAATCTGGCATCAGTAGATTTCTGTTATAGGTTGAAAAAAGGGGCAAACGTAAGATACGAACTTTCATTGCCAAATAAACAAGTTAACTAAAATAAGAAATAAAATATTAACATATAAAATGTTTACGCTCTTATCTCTACAAGGTTTAAATCAAAGTTTATTATAAATCATTCATTGGAAAACTTTTAACATTCATATGCTTTTTTACATTTTTTATACACAAAACTTCCTCGTTCTTAGAACATTCTAGAAATGTTTTATCAAAAAATAATTTCACTTTACAGAGGAAACATATTGCTTTCTTATTTAAAGAAAATTGAACACAGTAAAGTCTGTAGAGAAGTGCTTGAATCAATTTTTAATAACAATACAACAATAAATCTTCAATTATTAGATGAAATGTCGAGCAGTCGGCGACCACTAGTTGATATAATTATATTAAAGAGTTCCTTTTCTCTCCATCAATTTTACGATCAGTTTCATCGCTAGAAGTAACAAGCTTGATCAATTGCGCTATGGGTGCTTCTACCAGTAACCAGAACGGGTAAGCTACTAAAAAACTTATAAAGAACGATCCAAATGAGACCAGAATCTGTAATTATAACCAATAAATTTTAAAGTACAGGTAATTTAAAAGATAATTACTTTCATTTTGCAATGCCACTCATTTTCTTCCATTCTATTCCAACCATTTTACCTTGCTTCCTTTATTCTACTCCCGTAGGGTCGATGTAACAGGTTTTCGTCCCCCAATTAACTATCATCCGTCATCTCAGTCATCACTATATATTTAAGCCACTGTCAGTAGAAATGTATGTTCTTATTTCTCTTATACTCTTATCGGAAATCTGTTGTTTCTACCACACTTAGGACTAAATAAGGGATGGCTCATATTTCTTAACAATAGTTATTTATTAATTGATTGGTATAAAAAGACGAACAAATATTACAATCTGTATGAATAATATTAATTTTCCTTCTAGTATAAGAAATGCCAAAGTTTAGATAGAAGGATGTTTGTTAGAGTTTGTAGCCTAAACTGCTGAACGGATCTGGATGAAATTTGCATAAATGTAAAACATAGTCTTGAAGAACAGATAGGCTATTTATTAAAAAAAAAAGCTAGTTTTATATACTTACAATTTGAGGTATTGATATATGTGTTAACGTGGTTCTTAAACCCGTTACAATTTGTATCAGTATTAGATGAAGTAAATATGCAGCGTAGGAAACCCGAGCTGGTACTTCCCATCCTTGCCATTCTACTATCGGTCTGTATATATCTAGAAAGATACCAAAAATATAAATACCATTTGTAAAACCAACTTACTTAACCTCTGTCTGTCATTTGACAAAATCGACTAATAACCGGTTTCCCAGCCACATTCAACCATTCGTTATTACTATTGGTTCGATAACTTCATGAAATGCGTTTCCGAATGAGTGAAATGAATGAAATGAGTTTTACTTTGAAACTTGATCAACCCCACATTAATTATTCAATAGGTAGTTATAAAATAAATAACAACCCAGCATAAGTAATTTAGATTACAGGTCACAATTAAAAACCTAAACAAATCCGAGCTTTGGTAGTCCAGTTAATAAAGCAGTGGAACTGAAAACTGGAAGACTGGACTGGATTGATAGCTTCGCCTCCAGGCTTGGTATCTGATGTATCGATTGTTTTACGATTTTCATGTATTTACCTGAAGTTCTTACGATTAACGAAAATCGTGATACACATATTTTACAAATTTAAAAATAAGTGTGAATTCAATACTCAGAGAGCGTTAATTATAACCTAGTCATCCTTAGGAATAGGCTACGAATATTTAATGTTAGATCTTATATTAATTTATGAAATTTGAAATTCATACTTACTCTCTAGTTTAAACACCATACCCATTATAAATATAATTCCTATAACTCCATAGGCAAGTCTTAACAAACCAGAAAATATGGTTCTAACAATAAGGGGAGATGAAACTCCATCCATATAAAATAAACCACAAGAAAATATTAATAAGAAACCCATAGGAACACTTGCCCATACTAGATATCGGAATTTCTGAAACAAATAAAATGCTACTATATAAAAAATTTGACTTGTTATAAAGACTTTTCAAGTATATTCTACTAGTTATGCTTGTGACTTCACTCATGCATTAAAAAAGTAATAAATACAGCCTATATTACTACGAATAATGTTTTTTTTAAGAACAAAATTATTTTTAAATAGACATACAAAATAATAATTCTCTTTATATTTCAACATAGATCTATGTTACTGATCGAATGTGAATGAAGTCAGTTTTTAATCTGTCCAGTCATGTTTGGAAAACCACATTTCTCGTAAACCTCTAATAAAGTCGCATTGTCAATTAAAAATATTTCATAGAATTACCTTATACTTTTCAATATCGATTTGTTTTTTCTGCAGTTCATAAATGAGAAGGCCCAGACAGATACCTACTAGGTAATTGGTGACATTTGTGTGACCGCGCTTGTACGCATTGTTGAAAGTAGCGTCAGTAACGAAATGATGACGACCGACTCTAGTAATAAAGAAAAATAATAAAACACTTTTAAACAAATACATCTTACTGATAAAACCAATGAGATAGTTTCGATGCATGTTTGTTAGAGTTTGTAGCCTAGACTGAACGGATTTCGATTAAATTTCGCATAGATATAATAACTTGGAAGAACACATAGGTTGCTCACTTTTGTTTTTTTATACCCAGTAACGTAGTCGTGGGCGAAAGCTAGTAAATAAATATAGCATTTCAATTAAATGTTACGTTCAAAAAAAAATATGGAAAAGAATAGTTTTCCGTGCCTTGTGACGTCATATATACTGATTTTAATTGTCAAAATTTTAATGGAATCTGGAGTTAAAGTATGTTATCATTTATAATGTTATATATTTTAATGTCGTTTCAGGATTCAGTCGTTATCTTGAAGCATTAAAATTTTGTCAAGTCTAAGTTGTCAAAAATAATTATTTTTCACTTACTCCGGTGTAATAATAAGATGTGCTCTCAAATCTTGAAAATAAGTGTGCAGAGGTAGAATAAACAGTGATATCACAAACAATAGTGATATCACCACTTTTTTGACGCGTGGACTCTTTGCCAGTACCAATATGAAAATACCTAAAACGAACAGCTGCATGTCGGCAGCAATGTACCTAAAATCGGGGTAAAGATTAAGTATGCGGAACACTTTCGTCAATAGGAACGCAGAATGACTTCCACTTGATGTGTTTCTTTCTGTCAAAGTCTATACTTTATAATAAACACATCAAGTAGAAGTCATCCTCATAGGAAGGGGAGGGACAGTCCCCCCTTGAATCATTGGCTGTCGACGCCCGTGAGGAAATTCGAGCAGCTAATGCTGGTACTGACTTCACTTTTGTTAATTTTTTTTTAATCCTGTATTTATTTTACCGTTCATTTTGTCTAACGATGAAATGAAGTGAAAATTTGTGTTTGATTTTGTTATTTAAGATTTGTTTTTTACAGTGTTAACTTATTTTGAATACAACAATGACTGGCAGTTTTATAATTTGTCACTTTCATAGTTTTACGGTAACATACCACGTTTGCGTCATACATTGCGAGTTGTCGATGTAATTGTTGATATAGACGAGGTTACGCCATCCTTCAGCCCGACACCCGTAAACTTCGGGATATACAATTTTCTGTAAAGAAATAAAAACCACGCTGTATATCACTTTTGGAGTACGTAAACAAGTATAGAGCAGTCCAGGACATTATTTTAAATAAATATAAATAAAATATTTATGATTATGATTTTAATTTTAAGGCGAGTATTGCTTTTATTTTTACGACTAGCTGTTCCCGTGCGACTTCATCCGCATGAAATTATGAATGTTTTATTTTATTGTTTACATTTGTCAAATTATCAATTACAAATGTCAAAATGACGATGACAACCTTGCTTCCTTGATGTTGGCAGCAACTTATGGTCTCTTTTTCACATTAAGGTTTTTATCCAAAATATTTACCCCCTAAGTTTAATGGCGTTAAAATATACAAATACAAAGCGCGACGTAAGTTTAGGGCTTTTTACTAAATAAAGAATTATTCAAAAATATGTTGTAATTGCTGACATCTTAGGCAACAAAGAAGTGTGTGTTTACGCTTTATTATAATAGTAAAGATTACATCTTTAAAGCACACTATACAAGCATAATTAACTGACAATTTTAATGAATAGTTTGGTTTTTGAATAGGTTTGATATACGAACAAGTATATTTTAGTATTATTACGCGTTTTCGTACATTTGCTTCATGTTCATTCTTTACGGATAAATGATGATCATTTTTAACAAAATACCCACCTCCCACAACGGTCCGGAGCCAGCAAACCTTGCCCACGTCATAACAACTGCCAGAATCACCGCATAAGATGGTGTTAACCTATAAATGTAGAATAATGTAAATAATTGTCATACTATATCTTACTAATGTTATAAACTACCTTTCGCTCGCGACATCGTTCGCGTGAAAATAAAAAAAACTAAGTAGCCTATGCCTTCATCCAGACCATACTCCACACCTATGCCAAATTTCACCGAGATCCGTTCAGCCGTTTCTGCTATAAACTTTAACAAAAATCCATCCAGCTAAACTTTCGCATTTATAATATTAACTAGTAAGATATACAAAACGGCTTAAAATATCTCGATGAAAGGCACATATTCCAGTTTCTTTAATGCTGCGCTGAAGAATTCGAGGACAAAAACTAGTCCTAATTCAAAATAAAAATTAATTGTTAACAATTATAGCAATGGAAAATCATAACCTATTCCGTTTAAAGTTTTGAAATAATTTTTAAATCTCAGTTCAGTTTTGAAACATTAATAATTTAAATCTTACCGGAGCCATCTCATTAAAATAGCTTTGGGTATCATAATCCAGGTTATGTTTTGTTTTTCAGAAAATATTTGCATGTGATACGCGAGCAGACATCCAGACGTGATGAAGAACGTTTGCACCAATAATGTGCCATCAAACAATCCGTGATTTATTACATTTTGGTACATCTGTAAATAAAATATATATTAGCGTAAAAACGTATAATGTAAAGGCCCTGTACTAAGTAAGTTTCTTATTCGTTGCATAGCAAATTGAAGCAATAATTAGTTAGTAAATAATATTTGGAATGTATACCTTTTCAAAATACATCGTATTGTCACATGCGGTCACGAACGGTAGACAAGAATGCATTACTATAACACACACTATGGTCACGACCCTGAAATAGGTTAAAATATTTGTAAACATGGCTTTAGGGTAGGGCGCGGTTTGGTGACCGCCCAGGGTGATGAACAGTGGCATTACAGAATATAAGAACAATTTAAAAAAGTCAGCGCCTGAAAAAAAATATCTGCAAAAATTCATTTATGCAGAAATGTATTTAAATGAAATATGACAAAATACATATGTTATTACCTCAATCCATTAAAACCTTTCAGCCGATTTACTCGATGCTCAATATCTTTTCGCTTTCGAGTTAGCTTATTCCAGTTTCTTTTTATTGAGAAACATAGAAGAAATCGATTACCTGATAACCAGAATATTATTAAAACATCTTAATAATAGCGATTAGTTAACTAAATATAACCAATAAACTTAAAACATATGTTTCTAAAAACATAAATAAAAAAAAATATCAGTACCTTGAGCATAATCATTCTTTAAAATATAGAACTCATAAAAGTTTCCTATAAAGTGTAAAATAATTAAAATTAAGCAGAAAACTGCTACAGAAATATCAGCCGGTTCCAAATTATATTTATCTTCCTTATTGCATATTATATCTCCATTCAACTTTGTTTTTAATTTATAATTTCTTGTAAATGAATCGTTTAAACATTTTTCTAAATTCAATTTGAATTCTTTCGTATTATTTAAATATTCCTTACAAATATCACTTATACAGAGGCCATATTGAAGTCTGGTATGATTAAAATGCCTTTCTGTTCTCTTGCTATATTCCTGGGAAATTAAAAAGAAACTTAACAGTGGTAGAGCCCGATTTAATATCTTAGCACGAATGGGCCGGCACGCCCGGTGTAATACCACGACCACACAGAAGACAGGCGTGAAATGGAAGCAATTTCGTGTTTCGTCTGATAAGTGTGGTGCTGGAGGCCTAATTTTAGTCCCTTTCTCTTTACCACCCTTTTCTTATAAGAAGAAGATGGGAAGAGGAAGTGGTATTGACGGTGGAGGAGATGAATAGGAAGGGGAAATATCCTCTTTATGTGCGTCTCCTCCTCCGTCGGATAAGGGTAGGCAACGCATTTGTAATTGCGGATGTCTAAGGGCAGCGATTGCTTCGCCATTTTGGCGGATTCAGGTGGCCGCTTGCTCGCTTGCCACCTCATGTTATAAAAAAAACTATTATTTTTTTTGTGTTCATAATCTTGATGTTAAAACATGTTTAGCTAACGGTAAATTGTGGGTAACTATCTATAACAAATGTTCTTACCATGAGAAAATCTTACAAAACATTGTTAGTAAATTGTGTAAAAAACATAATTTTATACAATGAACGCACTTTGAATATCTAATGAGTACAACAAAAATATAGTTACGTTCTGTTTATTTTAACATAAGTTAACCCTTTAACAGCTGGTACTAGGTGACAGTAAAAGACAGCGACTTGAAATATCTTAATAAAATGTTTAGAACGGGTGCACCCTTGACTAAAGAATCGCACAGCTGTTATGCGATTGTCGATTGTTTCGCAGCCAATTCAACTGTTTAGTTGCACAACTAAAAATCGAGTAGTGTGCACACCTCCATATAAGCTGATAGGAATCAAAGCGAGACTACACAGTCAGAGGTGTGCGTTTAATGTTACCTTCATCATATTTAAAAGTTCACTCTCCTCATCAGCTATAATATCTATATCTATAGTGCAGTATTTTCCACCATCTCGATGTATACACGGTTCGTATGGATCGAGGTGAAATACCGGAGGCATTTTAATGTATTCCGTTTCTAAAAGTAAAAAATGCAGTTTATTAAAAAAATCCATACATTCAAACGTAACGTTTTAGAGAACAAATACCAATATCTCACTCTTAAAACGATTCCACATTTCAGGTTATAAGTTTTGATTAAGTATTAACTTGTATTTGATCGAAAGTTATGTCACAAACTTGCTAAACTGTCAAGCATCATCATCATCATCATCATCTCCCCTGGAATATCCTTCTCCCGTAGGGTCGGCGCACCGGGTTTTCGTCCTCCAAAGCACTCTATCATCCGTCATCTGTCATTCCCTTCTTGATCATGTCACCTTTCACGCAATCCATCTCTTTCTAGGTCTACCTCTATCGGTGTACCTCCACATTCATAACTAACATCCGTCTTGTTACATGCGATTCATCACTCATAACATGCCCATACCACTCTAACCTTTTATTTATTTTCTCAAGCATATTGGCGCGAAAATTAACTGGGATTTGAGCGAACCATTTATATTTACCCGTTAAATAAGACCAAAATCAAAAGAATTCATCCCACATTCATTTTTTTAATGTTTGTAGCTCAAAAACTTGATGTTTGTTTTTTTACTATTTTTAAAGTACTTACCGTTTAGTTCATATATTATACCATAGGTTTGATGTAATATAATTAATAAAATAATTAACTTCATTATTATTAATTGAAAATCACTTTAAAATAAGACTTCCAAAACAACTTTGAAATGTTTATAAAAATAGAGAATCCAAATATCGCAACAATCGTGTTGATGGTTTAGTTAACAAACTAATTTTGATGCGTCGCTTTTTGTATTTATGTATGGGAACCTAAATTTTTTTTCTTCACTACAAGGTTGCAAATGAGTAAGCTGTCAATTGCCATGAATTCGCTTAAATGGCGAAGTAACCACTGCCTTTAGACATCAGCCATTAGTCTATTTTCTTTCCCAGCCTTTTGCTTATATGAGAGGGATGGGTAATGAACGTGGATTTGACGTTGGAGGCGACACATTGGAAGGGGCAATGTCCTCTTTATGTGCGTTTCCACCGTCGGTTAAGGGTAGGCAACGCATTGTCTATGGCAGCGGTCGCTTTGTTTTGGCAGAATTAGGTGATCGCTTGCCACCTTATGATATATAAAAAAAATACTGCAGTGAAGAGTGGAGGCATTATTAATACAATATGAACCTTTTAGTTTTTTATGTGAATAGGGTACATCGATAGAGATCTAAAAAGAGATGAATGGATTGCGTTGTGTAAACTCTGTCCAGTTAGCATTAAAGTTATGTAGCCGACTTAAGTTAACTCATCTATGAAAGTTATTTTGTAATATACCTAGTGATATTACAAACGTCACATTCTATGTATAAAGCACGCGGTAAAATATCATTATGATATTGATGGAATATAGGCAACTGTAAAGGTTTTTTTTTTCAAGTAAAAAATACAAAACAATAAACCATAATAAAACAACTCGTAACATACAATTATTGAATAATTATGTAAATTAAGGTGCGTTTTATGGACATAAAAACATTTTTTTAATTATTTTGTTTTTTATAGTACTTTTTGTTTGAGAATGAGTTTACAAAACATAATTTTAACAAAGATTGCCCACATTTGAACAGACATAATGATCGATTGTTATTATGGAGGGGAAAAGTTAAAAAACATTAGATCTAAAAGTGGGATTATTCCCAACCGTCACCTTAATCTGTCCCCACGTAGAGACAGATGAGAATTAAGTTTCATCCGTCCCACCTTGTGCGACGAGGGGACGGTTGGGACCTATTTTATTTCATGTATCAACTTTTTGGTGATAGTGGAACTAAAAAATGGGACGGATGAAACATTTTCTCACGTGGGGACAGAGCGGGGTGACGGTTGGGAATAATCCTAAGAGCGCGCGCTCACCTTTGGAGGTACCTTATATGGAGGTGTACATACTACTCGATTTTTAGTTGTGAAACTAAACAGTTGAATGGGTTGAATTGACAAGGTAAAAAATTAACCACGCGGGTGTTAAAATTCATGGTCCAAACGGACGCTGTTGTGTCAGAGAAAAAATAAAACATTTAATTCTAATTTTAACTTTTCAAGGTCATTTATACATTTTTTGATCAAAAGAAAGTTAAATAAAAATGCATTAATAATCATAATTTAATTTAGAAAATACTGACGGACAAAAAGTCCGTGCTAAGTCAGCGTACAACGATCGATGTGATATCACTCTATCTGCCCGATCAGAGTACCATAGTCTATGGGCGAACGCCTTCCTATCGTAACTTCCAGATTGGTGAAAGTAATGTCCGTTTTCACGACTTATTGGATGGAACAGCATGTCTTCAACTATCTCAAAACCTGTAAAAAGGACGAGTATAATCTAAATCTATCTATACTAATATAATAAAGCGTAAACTCGCATTACTTTGTGGTGTAAGATGTCAGCAATCACGGCACATTTTTTAATAATTCTTTCTTTAATAAAAAGCTCTACACCTACGACACGCTTTAGGCTATATACATTCACGCTATTAAACTTAGCGTGAAATAAATTGAAAAAAATCCTTCATGTGGGAAAGAGACCATAAACTACAAGCTGCCAACAACAACAAGCCGTAAGGGAACAGTTAGAACAATGCTAAAAGAAATGACTAGTACCCTCTCCCTAGTTAGTATCCTAGTTGAACTCTGCTTAGTTTCCACTGCTCCTGTCACTAGAAGGTACATATAACGGACTACCATTTGAAAAGGTCCAAACACAATGATATTGTCTGTTCATCTACACACATGTACGTCGGTGTCATGTGCTCTTAAAACCTTCTTAAGTTGTTCACTAATCTGGTCAGTATAAGTCCCTCAATGATGGCCTCATCTTGTTAGCAGTGTTCTGCCATTCATCGAATTAAAAAAATTTAATCATGATTATCGTACCGTAACATGGTTCTACTTGTTTCACGCTGAAATCCCGACCTGGACACAAGTCTGAAACTGCCTGAGTTAAAGCCAGACTCCCGTTGATGCTTCCTTTCAACATTTGATCACTGAGGAGTCTAAAAATCATAAAATCGTAGCAATCAAATACAATTGTATCATTTTATATTTGTATATTTCTTCGTCTATGCCTACCACACTATTCTTTGATAACATATTTATGGTCTCATCAAATTTTGCGTTCTAAAATTCTCGTCGTCTCTTCTCTTTATTCCTATCAATCATACTAATTTTACTATATTGATAATATAACATAAGTTTATACATGCGAAAGTTTAGATGGATGTTTGTTAGAGTTTGTAACCTAAACGGCTGAACGGATTTCGATGAAATTTGGTATATATGTAGAGGATAGTCTGGAAGAGCACATAGATTACGCGCTTTTGTTTTTTTTTATTCCACACGGACGGAGTCGCGGGTGAGAACTACACAATAAAAAAAATCTATTCATATTTGATGACATGTTTTGATTTTGATAATCGTAAACTACGCCTTTCTCCAACATAAGCGTAATCCTAGATAAAAATATAACAAACATTCACCTCAAAATAGTTCCTGTAATATTCCGACCAATATTGGATCTCCTGATAGAGATAGCGTCCGTAGCCAGGAAACCATCTCCATTTTTTACCATCCAATTCACTCCTAAATCATCTAAAGGCTTGTTAACAATAACGTCCAGCTCCAAGACCGTACCACCGAACTTGTGTAAAGTCAAGAATTTAACGTACTCAGCTATTTCTTCTTGATTACCTATTCTGCTGTGAATTACGCCTTTTTTCCAGAACTCTTCAAATTTAGTACCATCAGCGTAAGTTAGCAAATGGATACCGATTAGACGGAAGTTGTCAAACTTCACCAATTGGTCCAAATTATCACTCCAAGTGCTTCGTGATATCGGACTAGTGTATAAAAGATTTATTTCTGTATCAGGATGGAGTCTGGCCGCCGCTTCGATAGCACACGCTTCGTAATCCTGAACTATTTTACTACAAGATGTGGAGTGGAAAAATATCGATTGTGGTGAAAAGAAACTGGCTCTAGAAATGTTAACGCTGTTCTCATTCCTCTTTCTGTGGCATTCTGTATCTTTGCCAGCGGAAAGACGTGATAAAGGATTGACGAGGAAGAAGTGAGTAGTGTTATGAACGTGGAGGAAGACGACGCACGAACTTAGCAAGTTACCGACGAACAGTAAGATACCCGCGTAGTAAATATATCTCATTGACCTGTAACGCATTTTTGTTTTAATGTAAACTCAGTAAATATAATTAAGAAATAGCAAATTGATTCAAAACTAAAAAAAGGTTGTCAAAATTGACAATTTTCATTGCAATTTTATCATCTCTTGATTTTTTAAATATACATCCATACTTTTTTAGTTAAAATTATGAATTTCGAATTTATGAAATAGTCAAAATTACAAATCAATAAATGCATATGTGAAGGATTTATCTGCAATTAATTTGCAACGATAAAAATTCAAATGCACATAGTAACACTGAATTATATTGTTTAAGCGCCATCTAACGGTTAAAAGCAACCAAACTGTAACAGCACACTAGCGCCATTTTTTATGTTGTTTCTATTCTATACCCATATAAGGCTTAAGATAGTTTCTCACTAAATATAGTTATAAATTAGTCCTTTAGGTTTAGGCTAAGCGCCATCTGCGCTCGGCCATCTCAAGCCCGGTGAATCTGTAAATGCCTCTTCAAGGCAAACAGTGACAACTCAGTCGAAAAAAAAAAAATCTCACTAAAACAATCGATAATAGCATCACCGAGCTCATCTTTGTTGAACTATATAAACAAGGATAACCGGGTCTTAACCCGGATACGTCAAACTCAATTGACAGTTTACTAGCGCCCTTCTGTCAATGTCAAAAAAGTTTTACAGTCCTTTTTGCTGTAGGCCTTATATTTTTATGCTTATGCAGATTTTACACATTTTCTAACAGAAATAATTTGAAAATAATTATACCAGCGTTTCTCTCAATAAGCCAGTGCTCTTGACTCTACCTTGAACATTTTTTTACTAATACGGGATTTAACCCTTAAATGCATATTGTTGCCAAAAGTCTACGAACAAAATTATAGTTTTTATTGAAACCATGACTTTTTTTTATTATTTTTACCTTAATCTGTGACTCAAAGCTTATACTGAAATATTGATTTTATAATTAAATAAAAAATCATGCATTTAAGGGATAATGTGATAGAATTTATAGCAATAAAACGCAATTAATATTTTAAGTACATTTATTATTAAATGAAGAGACTATCCATTGAATATAAACTACAAGTATATCCCATTTATAAAGAAAACAGAATTTGGACAGATTTTAGTTTAAACAAATCTTTCTACTGACGAAAAACTCAAAAATGAAAGATTGCTTTTGCTTCTTAAAGATTAGTTTGTCGTCTAAATGGCGAAAATATAGGCATAATACCAAATCCTTTAGCCTACTTAGGGGAATATAATTCAATGACATATATTATCGTCCTTATTACTAACATAATAAAACAGAGATATGTTTTTTTTTGCAATAAAGGTTTATTTAGGGGAAATCCACAGTAATTTAAAGAAAACTAACGAATGAATGTTTAATTATTCTAAGGGGCCTGTCCCACCATATTGTAAATTGTCTGATAACCCAACATGTAAAATATGCGGTGGAAATATCAGCTTTTGTTCGCATATCTGAGAATCACGTCATTTTTAAGCTATCTTAGGCTCTATCTGTTAGTGGTGGGACAGGCCTTAAATATAAGTAATTTAAAGTTCGAATTTGTTCTTCAGATCAAGTATATCTTCTTCGGCACATTTTTCCACATTTTTGCAATGCTCCAAGAGTTTGTTCAGACCTGGATAATAAAATATTTATTTCCTTGATTAGCGCAAAAGTTACACATTTTTTACTGTATACTGCATAGAATTAATTTTTTTAGTGATTACTCAAGTCAAAAATAAATCTTGAACCTTTTTTCCCTCTATTTTTTCCTTTATTTGTGGAATCTTTAATCACTATTTGGATCCCAATTCTAATAACAGGATCTATCGTTTAAAGGGCTATAAATTTAATTTTGTACTAGCTTTCGCCCGCGATTTCGTCCGCGCGGAATTAAAAAAAAAAACAAAAGTAGCCTATGTGTTCTTTCAGACTATTCTCTACATCTATACCAAAATTTCATCGAAATCCGTTTAGCTTAGGCTACAAACTCTAACAAACATCCATCTAAACTTTCGCATTTACTAGTAAGATTGCTAAGTACTAAGAAAAAGTGATATTGTAGATCATTTATTTGGTTAAGAGAATAACATATAAGAAACCAAATATTAAAAATGTATTGTACACTTACATTGTTTGTCTGCAGTAGAGAGGAACATCGCTAGAGCAGAAAATCTTTTAACTTTGACCAATCCTTTGAGATATGCGGTGACAGTTTTGTTACTAAACATATCCATGTCTTGAGACAGAATTTGTAATATCTCAGACAATACGTCACTTTCTAAAGCATTCGCGAAGATTGATGGTATTTTGGATGGTTCGATAATCTGAAAATAATTAAAAAAAAAATTTATAAATGTTTACCAAAAAGAAAAGTAATATATTTTACAACAGCTGTTACTAGCTGATACGTCCGCGTGTAATTAAAAAAAAACCATGTAAGCAATAACGTAGCTTTTTAATGGTGCAAGAATTTTTGAAATCGTCACATTAGTTTTTGATTTAATTCAATAAATTAAAAAATCAAAAAATTCAACATTTTTCCTTTTTATAATATTAGTAAAAAAGACTGTGTGTTGCTCGCGACTTCGCCCACGTGATATTAAGAAAAAAATAACCTATGTTATTCACGGAAAAATGACCTTTCTAACGCTGAAATAATTTTTAAAATCGTCCCCGTAGTTTTTGAGTTATCTATATATACAAAAATACAAATCTTTCCTCTTTATAATATTAGTATTGATTATGTAGGAAAGGTAGTATTGCAAAAATATTTAAAAACAAAAAAATATGAAATTCAACAATTTTTTTGTTTTAAAATCTGGCTATTTTGTTGGCAATACTGCATTTTTTCAATAAATAAAACTTACACTCAAATATTTGTTTCTAGCTGCATTTTGTCCTTTCAAATTCTTCCATTCGGACATAAACTGCACACTATTCATTGGTGGGACTAAATCCTTGATGCAGATCTCCTTTTCCGTTGTCACTTCATCTATTATCAGCTTCAGGGATTCCGAAGTAACATTTGGGTCCGGATTTCCATTACTATCGTTGATATTAAAAGATTCTTTCAAAGAATCACCATTTCCTTCATCTTTTACTTGATATTCTGGGGTTATTTTCATGTCTCCGTCTCCTTTTTTAACTTTTATCTCATCTTTGGTTTTGTTTGAATCATTATTATTGCTATCACCGTGGTCGTGATTGTCGATTTCTATGATCTTCATACGATTAGCGGGTTTCCATTCTACACCAAACGGTATCTCTTCTATAGATATAGTTTTTAAGGCTCTCTAAAATATTAAAAAAAATGAAAAAATTGAAACTGCAATTTTTTAAATCTTAGCTAAGACATTAAATGTTAGAAAAATCTTAATTTTTTTGTAATGTAATTTTGGACCTTAGGTAATACGTCAATATTACTGTAGCTCAAAACATTCATACAGTAACCTAATTTTAGATTAGATGGATGGATGTTTGTTAGAGTTTGTAGCCTAAACGGCTGAACGGATTTCGATGAAATTTGGTGTATATGTAGGGGACAGCCTGGAAGAACACATAGGCTACTCACTTTTGTTTTTTTTTATTCTACGCGGACGGAGTCGCGGGCGAAATTTAGTAAAGTAATACAGGTAACAACTAAAACTCTCCATAGATATTAAATACACAAATAAAACTATATAGTGATCCTAAAAAGACGTTATCGTTGACATTTAATAAGCATCAAATGAAAAAAAAAATCACTAATTTTTTTTATTTAGTAACTAGTTGTTCCCGTGCGGCTTCATCCGTATGAAATTAAGATTATTTTTTAATATTTACATTTGTCAAATTATCAATAGCAAATGTCAGAATGACATGACGTTATGATAATCCTTGGCAATTATGGTTCCTTGATGCATCAACTTACGGTCTTTTTCCCACATTTTTATCCAAAATATTTACCCCCTAAGTTTTATGGCGTGAAAAAATGTAGCCTAAAGCGTGACGTAAGTGCAGAGCTTTTTATTGAAAATGGAAATATTCAAAAATATGCAATTGCTGACATCTTAGGCAACAAAGAAGTGTGTGTTTACGCTTTATTATAATAGTATAGAAGTAATGTTTACCTTTGATCTAAGATGTGGTGGTTTTTTCACTGGCTTCAGAACACTGTAGCCTTCCCATTCACCTGACCTCCACTTCTCTAGCATGTGCTTTGATGGAAACCTATTCATCCCAGATGTATTGTCCAATTCTTCAATCTTTGGTGACTTTGGATCATTGTTACGTTCCGCGATCGGCGATGATTTAGATTTCGACTGGAATTGGTTTAAATTTAATAGAAAAAAGCATGTAAATAATAGTTTACATGCTTTTTTAATCTACTAATTATACATTTAATAACTACTTTTAATCCTAATTCTTAATCTTACTAATAACATAAATGCGAAAGTTTATATGGATGGATGGATAGATGGATGGATGGATGTTTGATAGAGTATGTAGCCTAAACGGCAGAACGGATATTGATGGAATTTGGTATAGATGTGGAGGATAGTCTGGAAGAACACATAGGTAACACTTTTGTTTTTTTTTTTTAATTCCACGCAGACGAAGTCGCGGGCGAAAGCTAGTTATATTATAAATCCGAAAGTTTATATGGATGGATGTTTACTTTAGGTTTTTTATTTCCACGCGGACGGAGTCGCGAGCGAAAGCTAGTAATAAATAAAATTATATTCTTATTACTAATTTTTTGTCATATTAGCTGTTGCAGAAGACTTAGTCTGCGCGGAATTAAAAAAAATACTTAATAAAATTGCCTTCTAAAAGTAATTCTTAAACCAAGGACATAAAGTTCATAATACAATTCTCATTGCACTTACACCTTTAGTCCCCATTCGTATCTTGATGGCTTCCAGTTGTTTCTTAGCTGCAGCATTCCGCGGCTCCAGGGTCAGGACTTGGTTGAGGTCAGCGGAGGCAGCCCGGAGGGAGCCGAGGCGTTCCCTCGCGGTGGCACGACGTTGTAACGCCTTCACGTATGATGGGTCTATGTTTAATGCCGCGGTGCAATCTGCCACCGCTTGGTGTAGACTGAAAGTATATTAAAATGTGAAAATAATAAACAATAAAGTTTACATTTTAACCATACAAAGTTACAAATAAATGTGGTATAAAGTTAAACTTAGGAATAAACTGAGTATAAGCAAATATTGGTACTAATATTGTGCAACTATTAAAAAAAAAGTAATTAAAAACCATATAAAACTGTATCTAGTACATCATTAGACTATTGTAATATAATAAATGAATAGAATTTTATTCTTTTAGTTATAATAGTACTCCATCAAACATTCTATAAAAAAGGCTAGCCTAAACTACAGATTAAAAATCGCAATTAATGTAACTAATACAGCATATAATTGAAAACAAAATCAGAATATTTTTTTTAACATAAGTTGGGAAACGAGCAAGCGGCCACCTGAATCGGCCAAAATGGCGAAGAGATCGCTGCCCATAGACATCCGAATGATAGACAAACGAATAAATGCAGATGCGTTGCCTACCCTTATCCAATGGAGGAGACGCACATAAAGAGGATATTACACCTTCCTATGCATCACCTCAACCGTTATATTCACTTCCCATTCCCATCCTCTCCTTATAAGAAAAGGGTGGTAGAGAAAGGGACTTAAATTAGGCCTCCGGCACCACACTCATCAGACAGAACACGGTATTGCTTCCATTTCACGCCTGTCTTCTGTGTGGTCGTTGTATTACACCGGGTGTGTCGGCCTATTAGTGCTAAGATGTTACCACTGTTAACTTAGATTTGCTAAATCAAAACATACAAAAAAAATCAAAAAAAGCGCTCATAAAAGTCATTAACTACTTACTTTTCCTCCACATTTGGACTAAGAGTTCCATTGCAAGTTAAAACAATAAAAATTTACATATTTACTGGTTAGCAATAAGTTAGCAAGAAATACAATATGTCACTACAAATTTAGAACTCCATGATAACTTAGTTAAATTCATCATCATCATCATCATCAGCTATATGTGTCACTATATGTCCCCACCGAAGGGCTCGGAGCCTACCCTAAGTTGGACCCTAAGTTGGTTGACTTCACACATATCTTTGAATTTCTTCACCGATATGTGCAGGTTGCATCACAAGGTTTCCTTCACCGTAAGAACGTCGGGTAAATTATGTACATATGAAAATCCGAGATATCGAAAATCACATTGGTACATAGAGGGATTCGAACCCAAGACCTGTATATTACAAGTCAAGTGCTTAAACCACTGAACCACCAACGATCTCAATTAGTTAAATTAGCTTCTTCAAAATAGGTGTTTCCCGTTAGGCCTATCAACTAGCCAATGTCCTATTGGGCCGAGATTAAAAGAATGATTGGCTTAGTAGGAAATACCTTTTTAAACCTATAATTAAACTATACTACGATAAAAGTACAAATTGATTGCTCCTACGTAAACTGTTGTATGTCACAATTTTGCAATTCACACCTTGTGTTGTTTTTAAATTAACATGAAAAATAATTGTAGTTGTGTGTAGAAAGCAATATTAGAAAAGAACTGTAGATTTTGGTTTTCTATATCATTATCATGTTTGGTGTCATGATTAATCATGTTAATGTTTTTTACAATATGTGCATTTCAAACTTACTATAATTTACAATGGAGCCATCAAACCTACAAACCACTTTCACACCTTTAATAGCAGAGAAACTTATACACAAGTTATAACATTGTAATAAAATGTTACCTGTCTTTCTTGAGGTAACACAGTCCTCTATTAGCATAGTATATAGCATCATCTTTGATCAGTTCGATAGCCCTGTTGTAACATTTGATCGCTTCGTCCCATTTCTCTTCCTTAACAAATGCATTACCCTGGAAATTAGTAAACAAAAAAAAAATAAGGACAAACCAATTGGTAATAAGATGACATTGTTAGTTCACAGAATTGCCAACTAACATATGAAACTTGTAGGTCTACATATTAATATGCTTTTTTTAAAAAATGAAAATAAGATAAAACACTATTTATTGACCAAAAGAATTATAAATAAGAACACAATTTACAAAACATATTAGTTACTGTAATAAAAAAAATAAGTCTTATAGTATGATCTAACATCCATGCTAGATTACACACATTCACAACTAAATAGAATTTTAATGGTGAAGGAGTATTTGAAAATGGCCCAGTAGTTTTCGAGTTATTTCAATACATACAGAAATACAAATCTTTCTTCTTTAACTAATAGTATACATTACAAAAAATAGCTTACCCTCTCTTTTTCATACTGTGCTTCTTCTCGGAGCTTCTCCAGCTTGTCTTTATCACTCTTCTTGCTATCTAAGGACACTGGTCCAATCTCAGCCATATCTACTTCCTCGCATGCTTTTTCCTATAAGTATTGAAAAACATGACATATTTTACATATCAGTATTATGTACACTTATGTAGAAATATACAAGTCATCATCAACCTTCCCTTGTCTGTACAGAGGGTCGAGACAGGATGTACTTTCCCATACATTTCTATCAGCTGTCATATCTGAATCCACTCCATTCTTAATCATATCCTCTCACAAAATCCATCTAAATTATTTTAGGTCTACTAGTAGGTGTTATATATCTAAGTTAAATTAAAGAGTAACAAAGTATAGGAATAACGTAAACAATATACATACAACATCAAATTTTTCCCACGCTTTGTAGTCTTGAGCAGAAATCCTTTTTCCAGGTGTTTTCTTTACTTCTGTTGGTCTTTCCCTTTTTATTTTACTTCTAACAGGCGGCAGATCCTAGTTAACAGATATTTTAGTATTAACACAAGCCGATTAGTATAATTTACGTGCTGTATCGGAATTTGAACACAAAAAAATACATTCACTAGTTTACAAAAACTAAATTAAGACATTAAAAATCTACAAATACGTCTAAAGTAACCGAAATACTAACTAAATAAATACAGACATGAATATAATGATTTGAACCTTAACAAGATCGCCGTTAAGCGCGGCCTCTTTACGTTTCATTTCGTTCTCCCAATTTTGCAAATCTGTTATACATGTTTGGAAAATCTTGGCATTATCTCGAACGTTTCTCTGAATCTCAATCGCTTTATGCATTATATGTTAAAGTAAAACGATTCCTTTACTTTACCTGCAGTTTGATCAATATACAATTTTCAGTTCACAATACAATATCAATTGTCATTTGTCATCTTGTTCAGTTGTCAATTGTCATGGAATATGGAACTCGATTCGTTCAAAAATTTACTTTGAATTTTAAAACCCAAATTCAGTTAAAATATATTAAGAAAAAATAACGTATGAGACTTTTGCAATATTAAAAAATAATAAAAAACTGAAAGCTTAGGTTTCAGCTAAATTCTGGCTTGGCTAAATTATATTTAGAAATGAATTACTTTGTACGCTGCGTTTAAACCTGTCCTCGAAGCTGCTCGAAGCCAACAAAGCACGATAACCACTAGAAAATAAATTGGTTTATTAATGCAAAGCTACTTTTTGCATAATAATAAATTGCAATAGTAAAATTCATTCTGTTGACACAAAATATTTCTCAAATAGTTTAGGAATTTCATAGTAACAATTTTTGAATAATAATTACGAGTATCGCAGTATCCGAATGTGTGAGAAAATGTATTCGTTTTAACCACATAAGTCGGATTAAATTGGCTTATTAGTAAATAGAGGTCTGTAACATGGTCGTTCATCTCGTGACATGTTGAGTTGGCGCAACGAACGTGAGGGAGCGTCTGCTCGAACTTTATGCCAAGTTTCGATAAACTCGTGACTATATTTGATTTATAGAGGACACAAAATAATCGACAATTGAATTAAATTATTTCAAAAATTGTCTGTGAGGATGTTATGGTTTGTAATCCAAGAGCAAGGAAACGCTATGGTCATTTTATGTTTCCGGATTTTTACTTTACAAGGCGTAACGAAAATTATGCACGTTTATTTTTATACAACAATAAAAATTAGTACTCGCACTTGTTAGACTTTTTATACATCAATAGTTGAAGTTACACAAGTTTCATTTTTAATAAATCATTGATTACACAATCCAATTATTAAAAACTGCCTCAAAATGTTTGGTTCTGTATATTGACCATAGAATAAAACTATGTGAGTCGAATTTATTACGCAATTGTTTGTAATAAAGAGAAAGATTCGATTTCTCTCATATTACATATCGGAATATTCCAACCCTACAATATGATAAATACTGTTATCTTATAGAAATGTTAAGGAACTCTATATTCTACGTCCGTAATAAACACTTGAAATAGATAAAAACGCGTACGTTTTGAAATTATTGAATTAAAAATGATAAAAAAAGGATTTACAATTGATGCTTGATTGAGATAATTAGAAGTTATTGATCATTTGTATATTTTTATAGTTAATGTTTTTGTCAGAAATTGATTTAAAAAATCTATTGACAAACTTGTTCTACGATACAGCTATGATTTAGATGTCAAGAGATTTTTAATAATTGACAGATCATTTATAATTACAACCAGACATACAGGATGCTTTAACTAGCCGACGCCCGTGAATCCGCCCTGGCGTAGTTACAAAAATAAAGTATGTGTTCTTCAAGACTATGCTATTTATGCAAAATTTTATAGATATCCGTTCATCCGTTTAAGATATACCTTTTAACAGACATTGAAACATACAAACTTTCTTATTAGTAACAGAGGTAGTGCCCGTTTTAACATCTTAGCACGAATGGGCCGGCACGCCCGGTGTAGTACCACGACCACACAGAAGACAGGCGTGAAATGGAAGCAATTCCGTGTTTCGTCTGATGAGTGTGGTGCCGGAGGCCTAATTTAAGTCCCTTTCTCTTTACCACCTTTTTCTTATAAGGAGAGGATGGAAAGGGGAAGTGGATTTGATGGTGGAGGAGATGCATAGGAAGGGGCATTATCCTCTTTATGTGCGTCTCCTCCTCCGTCGGATAAGGGTAGGTAACGCATCTGCGATCGCGGATGTCTATGGGCATCGGTCGCTTCGCCATTTTGGCGGATTCAGGTGGCCGCTTGCTCGTTTGCCACCTTATTTTATAAAAAAAAAATCACAATATTATAAAGACGGTCATTATTGATCGCCTGTGTCAGCTTTTAAAGTTAAAAAAAACAATAGAAATGTACAGTAATTATCATCAACATATGTTTTGTTTTTAGTTCGATGCGCCAAGTAGTTTTTGACTTTTATAGCTTGAAAAACATAGCTTCCTGTTGTCATTAGGTTCAAGGTAAAAGTGTTGACCGTTCAAAAAATTTAAAACAAGTCTAGTTTACATCCGAAACAATAACTTGTTTTAAGTTCATTGAGCTTTTGATGTTTATGAGCTAATACGTAAAACAAAGTTCGTGCGAGTGTGTAAAATGACCGACTATTTCGTATCTACTATTCTTTGAAACAAGTGGTAGTGCCCGCTTTAACATCTTAGCACGAATGGGCCGGCACGCCCGGTGTAATACCACGACCACACAGAAGACAGGCGTGAAATGGAAGCAATTCCGTGTTTCGTCTCATGAGTGTGGTGCTGGAGGCTTAATTTAAGTCTCTTTCTTTGTACCACCCTTTTTTTATAAGAAGAGGATGTGAAGGGGAAGTGGATTTAACGGAGGAGGAGATACATAGGAAGGGGAAATATCCTCTTTATGTGCGTCTCCTCCCCGTCAGATAAGGGTAGGGAACGCATCTGCAATTGCGGATGTCTATGGGCAGCGGTCGCTTCGCCATTTTGGAGGTGGCCGCTTGCTCGTTTGCCACCTTATGTTATAAAAAAAAGTAAATACCTTTTAATGCGATTTCTGCTTATTATTTAATTTCTTTATTCTTTGAAAATATTTGTATTTGTGACAAGAAGGTTTCATACCACCCAGAATTTAGACAAATTCTAGATAATAATAAAAATCTTTTCTTAATAATTGGAAGATACTTAAAAATAACGTAGATCATTTAGAATATGTTAGAACTAGCTTTCGCCCGCGACTCCGTCCGCATCGAATTAAAAAAAAAGTAGCCTATGTGTATATCTATACTAAATTTCATCGAAATCTGTTATCCCGTTTTGGCTATAAACTCTAACAAACATTCATCAATCCATCTAAACTTTTGCATTTATAATATTAGTATGATTTGAAATAACAGGATTTGATTTCTTTCTTTACTGTCTTAAAAACTGGAGAGGACAAAAGTGAAATCTCGAATTCACACAAAAGACTAAAACACAAAAGGTTTAAATATTAACTACCCACGCAGTCTGGTTAGTTTAAGAAAGTGTAGACAATAATTGCTTTATTTCTGAATGACAGAGACAAAAGATTAAAAACTGAAACTACTGATATCCGCAAATTGTTATAAAACTAGCTGTTCCCCTGCAACTTCAACCGCATAAACTTATGAAAATGTTTTTTCATTGTTTACATGTGTCAAATAATCAATTGCAAATGTCAAAATACCAATTTACTATGGCAATTTTGCTTTCTTGATGTTGGCAGCAACTTATGGTCTCATTCCCACATTAGGGTTTTTTATGCAAAATATTAACCCGTATGTTTAATGGCGTGAAAATATATAGCCTAAAGCATGACGTACATAAGTGTAGGGCGTTTTATTACAAAAAGATTTATTCAAAAATATGCTGTAATTGCTGACATCTTAGGCAACAAAGAAGTGTGTGTTTACGATTTTTTAAAATAGTATAGATAAGGTAACTAACTTAACATAACTACGGAGTTAAGAGACGTCCCTTCTTTTTTATAAGTGTTAAGAAGAAAATTAGTAGAATTGGTGCAATACTAGATTATTCGCATAAACGTCACATTTCTGACAGCTGTCAATGTCATTAGACAAATTAGATTGGCGCGCGATCATGAGTTCTGACGAGAAGTGTTGCTCTGAGTTTTTAAACGATAGTATCCATAAATAAATTGTTTAAAATAAGATCGACCAAAGTTTGTTATTTTATTAGAAGAAATGTTAGTATTTTAATATAAAATCGCGAGCGACAACCAGTCTATTAACACGAGACATGTCGATGTAAACAAACATCTTACGAAACATCCGTTGTGCTGTTATTGGCAGTTCATCTCAGTACCTACCGTAATATAATTTAACGTGAAAGTTACCGATGCCCTTGAAACGTGACGTATGAAGATCGTAAACATTTAGATATGTTCTTGCAATAATAAAATCACGTTCTTCGGAAGGTGAACGCAATATTCTTCAGGTTAATTAGACGATAAATTTACGATGGAGTATTTATTACAATTATTAAATTATTAGCTTTATAAAATCTGTATCTGAATTTTAAGAGCGGGCGCACACTTGTATAAACTAATATTACGCGCAAATGTTGTGCGATTTTCGATTGTTTTGCGGCAAACTCAACTGTTTAGTTGCATTACTAAAAATCGAGTAGTCTACGCATTCCCATATAAGCTCATAGGAATCAAAGCGAGACTTAATAGTTATGCGATAGTTTAGTTTTTCCCGCATGCTCTTTTACACGACAAGGGGATAAACGGGCGCCGGAAACACCGAGATTATCTTCTTAACAGTTGTAGAGCCCGCTTTAACATCTTCGCACGATTGGGCCGGCTCGCCCGGTGCTATACCACGACCACAAAGAAAACAGGCGTGAAGTGCAAGCAAATCCGTGTTTCGTCTGCTGAGTGTGGTGCCGGAGGCCTAATTTTAGTCCATTTCCCTTTTCCTAACAGGAAAGGATGGGCAGGAAAAGTGAATTTGACGGTGGAGGAGACGCATAGGAAGGAAAATGTCCTCTTTATGTGCGTCTCCTCCTAAGGGTAGACACGCATCTGCAATTGCGGATGTTTATGGGCAGCGGTCGCTTTCCATTTCGGTGGATTCAGGTGGCCGTTTGCTCGTTTGCCACCTTATATTATATAAAAAAAAACAATGGACATCGTCAAGAGTTGCAGTTGCGTTGCCGGCCTTTGAAAAAGAGATTCTCTTTCTGGTATTTAAACACATTTAGATCTATTAAGGATTTGATTTAATAACTTATCGAATTTTACTTAAAGTATCCCATGACAAGACGTATTCGTATTGAGATATGAGATATCATTAATCATTTGCAGCTGG